TGTTTCTGTTCTGGATTTTGATTAATGACTTAGATGAATGTTGAGAAGTCATGATCATCAAGTTTGCAGATGACACCAAATTGGGAGGGAGAGCCAATACTCCAGAAAACAGGAGCAGAATTCAAAACAATCTTAACAGATTAGAGAGATGATTGGCCAAAACTGACAAAATGAAGTTCAACTGGGACAAATGCAAGATACTCCATTTAGGCAGAAAAAATGAAATGCAAAGATACAGAATGGGGGGGGGGGGGGCGATGCCTGGCTCGACAGAAGGATGTGAAAAAGATCTTGGAGTCTTCGTGGACAGGAAGGTGAACATGAGCTAACAATGTGATGTGGCAGCTTAAAAAAAATTGGATTTTAGCCTGCATAAACAAGAGTCTAGTGTGTAGATCCAGGGAAGTCATGTTACTCCTCTATTCTGCCTTGGTCAGACCACACCTAGAATCATAGAATCAAAGAGTTGGAAGAGACCTCATGGGCCATCCAGTCTAACCCCCTGCCAAGAAGCAGGAATATTGCTTTCAAATCACCCCTGACAGATGGCCATCCAGCCTCTGTTTAAAAGCTTCCAAAGAAGGAGCCTCCACCACACTCCGGGGCAGAGAGTTCCACTGCTGAACGGCTCTCACAGTCAGGAAGTTCTTCCTCATGTTCAGATGGAATCTCCTCTCTTGTAGTTTGAAGCCATTGTTCCGCGTCCTAGTCTCCAAGGAAGCAGAAAATAAGCTTGCTCCCTCCTCCCTGTGGCTTCCTCTCACATATTTATACATGGCTATCATGTCTCCTCTCAGCCTTCTCTTCTTCAGGCTAAACATGCCCAGCTCTTTAAGCCGCTTCTCATAGGGCTTGTTCTCCAGACCCTTGATCATTTTAGTCGCCCTCCTCTGGACACATTCCAGCTTGTCAATATCTCTCTTCAATTGTGGTGCCCAGAATTGGACACAATATTCCAGATGTGGTCTAACCAAGGCAGAATAGAGGGGTAGCATGACTTCCCTGGATCTAGACACTAGACTCCTATTGATGCAGGCCAAAATCCCATTGGCTTTTTTGCCGCCACATCACATTGTTGGCTCATGTTTAACTTGTTGTCCACAAGGACTCCAAGATCTTTTTCACACGTACTGCTCTCGAGCCAGGCATCCCCCATTCTGTATCTTTGCATTTCGTTTTTCCTGCCAAAGTAGAGTATCTTGCATTTGTCCCTGTTGAACTCCATTTTGTTAGTTTTGGCCCATCTCTCTAATGGGCCTGGAATAGTGTGTCCAATTCTGGTCACCGCAGTTGAAGGGAGATGTTGACAAGCTGGAATGTGTGAGGAGGGTGACTCAAATGATCAAGGATCTGGAGAACAAGCCCTCTGAGTGGCTTAAAGAGCTGGGCGTGTTTAGCCTGCAGAAGAGAAGGCTGAGAGGAGAAGTCATAGGGAGGAGGAAGCAAGTTTCCTTTCTGATGCCCTGGAGACTAGGACGCAATGGAACAGTGGCTTCAAACTACAGGAAAGGTGATTCCACCTGAACATGAGGAAGAATTTCCTCACTGTGAGAGCTGTTCAGCAGTGGAACTCTCTGCCCCGGAGTGTGGTGGAGGCTCCTTCTTTGGAGGCTTTTAAACAAAGACTGGATGGCCATCTGTCGGAGGTGCTCTGAATGCCATTTTCCTGCTTCTTGGCAGAAGGTTGGACTGGATGGCCCACAAGGTCTCTTCCAAATTTATGATGCTATGGTTCTACTAGCCCAGACTGATTAAACAGAAGCTTTCAAGACCAGAGGGGGGACTGTTGCCTTTAGTATATTTTTTTAAGATGGACAGTACCTTTATGGTAGCAAAACTGCTGTCCTCGTCATTGTTTCTGGCCTGCCTTCTCTCCCAATAACAAGGCTCAAAGTGGCTTGTAAATTCAAACCAAAGGAACAGAGTTTAATCACAGAAAAGATGGATATTTAAACAGAATTTAACCACTGTATTAACAACAATTAAAATGATCTAAGGGTGCAATTAAAAGGTTTGGAAGCTATTAAAAACACCGCAATTAGAACAATACAGCACACTCTTTAAAAGCCTTTCTTTTGAAACCTTTGTTTGGTTTTGAAAGCTTGTTAGGATTTTACCCTGTAAACCGCCTTGAGTCGCCTGCGGGCTGAGAAAGGCAGTATACAAATACAGTAAATAATAAACAAACAAACAAACATATTTTGCTCACTGTTGAAGGATACTCAGGAGGAAACTGTTCCGGCCTTCCCAACAAGAGGGTTCCAGAAACAACCCCTGAGAAAGCTGATGTCCTGATAACAGTGGTATTGTATGCCATGGGGCTAAAGTTCTGGGTCAGGTTGTCCTGAATACTGCTGGTTTTGTTGCTGCCAATTGATTAAAATTTAAATTGTACCTCTTTTGACTGAAAGTCAAATTGTACCTCTTTTGTGTCACTCAGCGAGGGGTGACACAAATGGGCCAAAGCTACACAACTGGATTTCAGCGGGATAATATTGTCTCCTGTCTGAGGGGGCAGGAGGCATTGTCTTATCTTGCTATGCTTTCTATGCTGACAGAGCATTTATTGTATGTAGAGTCAGCCCTCACAGGTTTAAATGCCATAGCCTTCTTCTCATTTAAAAGCTCGGGCAAGAAAAAATGAGAAATATTTTTCTCTGCTAGACATCCTGGAGAGCTGCTGGTCGAGGTACAGAGTACTGGGCTTGATAGATTCATCATTTGACTTGCCCTTAAACAGTGTCCTTTATTTTGAGCCATGAGGACTAGAACCTTGATAAGTCAAGGAATGATCAAAAATAACAAAATGAAGTTCAACAGAGACAAATGCAAAATACTCCACTTAGGCAGAAAAAATGAAATGCAGAGATACAGAATGGGGGGGGGGGGTGCCTGGCTCAATAGCAGCACATGTGAAAACAAGATCCTCATGGACAACAAGTTAAACATGAGCAAACAATGTGATGCAGCAGCTAAAAAAGACAATGGGATTTTTACCTCTCCGAACGTATTCTCCCCTATGAACCATCAAGATTATTAAGATCGTCTGGAGAGGCCCTGCTCTCGGGCCCCACCGGCCTCGCAAGCGCGTCTGGTGGGGACGAGGGACAGGGCCTTCCCGGTGGTGGCCCCGCGACTCTGGAACTCTCTCCCACCGGAGGTCAGAACCGCCCCGTCTATCCTGACATTTAGGAAACGGGTGAAGACGTGGCTGTGGAGTCAGGCTTTCGATGAATGAGACAACACCCTAGGATTCTGGATGGAAGATGATGTAGATCTGATTTTAATACGACGACTGACCACCGTAGTTTTATATATAATGTTATTTTAAATCTGTTACTGTAATTGTGATATATGATATTTTAATGAGTGTATATGTTTTTATGGTTGGAAACCGGGCTGAGTCCCTCAATGAGGTTGAGAAGTTCGGTATAGAAAACTTTGAAATAAATAAATAAATAAATAGGAGTATAGTGTCTAGATCGAGGGAAGTCATGCCACCCCTCTATTCTGACTTGGTCAGATCACACCTGGAATACTGTGTCTAATTCTGGGCACTGCAATTGAAGGGAGATGTTGATCCTAAGATGGAATGTGTCCAGAGAAGGGTGACTCAAATGATCAAGCGTCTGGAGAACAAACCCTATGAGGAGCAGCTTAAAGAGCTGGGCATGTTTAGCCTGCAGAAGAGAAGGCTCAGAGGAGACATGTATAAATATGTGAGGGGAAGACATTGGGAGGAGGGAGCAAGCTTGTTTTTGCTGCCCTGGCGACTAGGGTGAGGAACAATGGCTTCAGGAAAGCAGATTCCACTGGAACATTAGGAAGGACTTCCTAACTGTGAGAGCTGTTAGGAACTCTCTGTCCCAGTGGAACTCTCTGTCCCAAAGTGTGGTGGAGGCTCCTTCTTTGGAGGCTTTTAAACAGAGGCTGGATGACCATCTGTCGGGGGTGCTTTGAATGCAATTTTCCTGCTTCTTGGCAGGGGATCGGATTGGATGCTCTCTTCCAGTTCTATGATTCTATTCTATGATTCTATGAATAAACAGACTTTAAGCTGCTTTTGTTGTGAAAGATCTTCCATTCTGTTCTGTTGACTCTGTTGGTTTTATTGGCCGCATAATAATTTTAATAACTATTAAATGAATTTTAATTGTGGTTTATATAAATTTATGTTATTATGTTAAATGTAAACCAATTGACAGGTTATATTATTATTTAATTTCTAGTTGTATAATATAATTTTGTCTTAGATGTTGATTTAGTTTGGGATCTGGTTGTTTGTTATTTGTGTTTGTATTTATAAATGTACTATGGCATTGAATGTTTGCCATTTTTTGTTGGAATCTGTCCTGAGTTCCCTTGTGTAGATAGGGCAGAATACAAATAAAGATGATGATTATGATTATTATTATTATTTGAAACACAACAAGATTAGTACACAGGAAACAAGAACACTATGCTGGTTGTTTTTGTTGTTGTTGTCATTATTATTATTCAGGTCCAACTATGCCCAGTTCAAAGTACCAGGTGATTTTCTCTCTTATGTCCTGGAGAGTAGGTGCTTATTTAAGGACAGTACTGGACTCGATTTGCCAGGTAGTATCACTATGGCATCTTTTTATTTAAATCTTTGCCTTATTTGGAACCTTACTTTGTCTTAAGAAGAAAGCCTACATCTTGGTGATGGAGCACTCACTTTGAATGCACATGATCTGCCAGTCAGACCAGTCAACATTAAGTGGTTAAAAAGTTGAACTTAGTATTAGATAGTTTCTGGTTTATGATCTTGATGTGTAAGGTAAAGATCCTAACTTGCTGATAGAATACCTCCTTCACATTCAGAAGTTTTAGTCCTTGCTGTCTCATGTTAAAAGACCCCCTTCTATTTCAGATACCTTCAGAAGACTCTTGCCTCTTGCAGCAAACACTATGGGGGAGCTGAGGATTTGGGTGGTTTCAATGTCCTTATGCATTTTTTAATTTCCCCCTGGTTGTAGGTTCTACTGGGACTTCACCATGCTGCTCTTCATGGTGGGCAACCTCATCATCATCCCAGTGGGCATCACTTTCTTCAAAGATGAAACAACAGCACCCTGGATTATCTTCAATGTGATTTCTGACACATTTTTCCTGACAGACCTGGTCATGAATTTCCGGACGGGCATTGTCATTGAGGATAATACTGACATCATTCTGGATCCCGAGCGGATCAAGAAGAAGTATCTGAAGACCTGGTTTGTGGTGGACTTTGTCTCCTCCATCCCTGTGGATTATATCTTCCTCATTGTGGAGAAGGGCATGGATTCGGAGGTCTACAAGACAGCCCGAGCATTGCGCATTGTCCGTTTCACCAAGATCCTCAGTCTCTTGCGTTTGCTTCGGCTTTCACGGCTCATCCGCTACATCCATCAGTGGGAAGAGGTAAGGGGAGATCATGCTGAGGCTCAGCAAGCTCAACTTCTTTTGGGTTGAGATAGGTGGGAGATGGGGGAAAAATTGAGCCCAAGGTCCAAATTCCAAAGTGGAGAAGGGGTTCAGGCACTACATTCTGTAGTGAATGGGGATTAGGCAGAACAAGGTGTAATTCCTTTGGGAATCTTTTTCCTTTCCATATATCCAAAGGACAGCTCAGCTCTGTGCATATATGTGTCCAGACATATGTTCCAATGATTCCATTTTCAGGACTCCACAGCATGACTCCATTCTATGTACATCTATTTGGTGGTATATCTTGGTGCACAAGTTTTTCAGTCTGGCAAAATAGAACTTGATACTACTTACCTGTTGAGAAGTATACTCCAGTGCAACAACATTCAAAAGCACAACTCAATACCTTGTCTGTCTGTTCAGGAATAAAATCCTTGTGCAACAGCTTTTAGGTCAGCAAAGCGCAGCTTCATCTTATGTGTAAGTTACAGTACAAGAGCATTTAATTCTGCAAAGAGAAGTTTGGTACTGTATGTACAAGAGCAACCTTTTAAAAAGACACTTAAAGTATGTGTTCAAACGAAGCACATTAATTTGCAGAGATCTTTGCCACAAGATTTGTTGGTGGACCCATGGCAGCAGGGTGCCTGAGGGGAGAGGCAGCACGTGCCCTGCCTCCTTAGTTAGCCTTTGAGTGAGGTGGGGGTGTCTTCCCTCTGCCAGTGTTTCTGACTTCTGGTCATCTTACCCAGACAATGTGGAACCCTAACAGATTATCTGCTGATCCACTTGGCTTTTCCTGAGAATTATGGGGTTGGTTTGCATGTTCTGCCCCAGGTAATGTCATAGGTTGACTCTGGGTGATAGCCAACCAGACCTGGACCTCTTTTGAAACAGGTAAATGGGCCTGTTTATGGAGGTGAGAAACGTTATCAGTAATGAGGAAGCCCTTCTGACTAGAAGAAGTCTGGTTGTGTGTACAGATCCTTTCAGAGAAATACGACATGGGGTTGTTGCCCTCGCATCTTCTTTGTGGGCCTCCTGGAGGCACTTTCCTGTTCAAAGCAGGGCACTGGGGTGAAATGGGCATTTTGTCTTGAACCGGCATGGCTCTCCAGACCTCTTTATCCCTGTTTTGGCTTTGAGTGACAGGGCTCCTCGCGATGACAGATGGGGCCCTTCCGCTTGGGTTGGGAAATGATGGGGGCAGCACCTGCCAGCCGGCTGCCTGCCTCTCTCCAGGCATCCTCCTTCCTTGCCTGCAAGGCTCTTGACAGCTGGCCGCTTGCGCTGTGTTTTTCTGCAGAGCTAAGGAGCCAGACGTGTTCATAGGGAGTTGTGGTGCGGATGACGTGGTTTGCCCCTCTCATTCCGAACAAGAAATAAGACCTTTTCCTTGAACGATCAGTCCTTTTCAGAAAAAAGAGTTTGGCAGGAGCAAGAACAGAGCTACAGATTTTCAGGCGATTCCATCCCTCTCGTTTGATAGGAGACTTGGCACCAGTTCCTATCATTCCAGTGGTTTGGAGAAACACTCTGCAATGCAGGACTAAAAATCTTGAAACCTGTAGGTCACAGTTCTAGCCGCATGACCTCACAACCAACCTTGAAGCTGGTTTTCTACCTATTTCCTCCCTTGACATTTCCCAAAAATGTGATTTCCATTGTTGCTATGTACCATCAAATGGATTCTGACTGATAGTGAACCTGTGTTGTTGTTATGTGCCTTCAGTTGTTTCCAACTGATGGTGATCTGCAGGGTTTTCTTGGCAACATTTGTTCAGAGGACTTTTGCCCTTGCTTCCTCTCACAAGGAAGTGTCGCTTCCCCAAGGTCATCCAGTGGGTTTCCATGACTGAGTGGGGATTTGAACCCCGATCTTCAGAGAGATTGTCAGTGCTCAAACCACTATACCCTGCTGGCTCTCATCCTAGGGGTTTCTTTCCAAATTTATTCAGAGGAGGATTGCCTTTCCCTTGTTCAGCTTTTAAATCTGTTCTTAACTCATTATGTTTACTTTTTTATACTTAGAATTGCTTTAACTGTTTGATGTGTTGTTTTAATGTTATTTTTTGCCCTTTCTTGCTATAGGACAGGGTAGACACAAAGGCAGGTATAAAAAACTCACAGTTTAAATGTAATAAAACAATAGGTAGAACACATTTTTCAACACACCCATTTATACATTATAACCAGGTTGAACAGAGATATATTTTGTTGCCTTTGCCCTAGTGACTCCTACCACTGATCTCTCCATTACCCTTTTTATTATATTCAAGTTATTATTACTAACTTCTATATTAAAGCATTTCAAAAATTTTCTCTGTTTGCTTTATAGATATGATTGCAGTGAACATCTACAGTTGAAACAATGACTCTCACAAACATGAGGGTAGGGAAAGCAGCTCAAAAGCCCCAGAGCTAGTAAAACAGATGGATGAAATGCCTTGGCAAGGAAAAGGGTTTGGAACTGGAGGCAAAGCAATCGTGGTGAAAGCAGCAACCTCATTTTCTGAGTGGGGTTATTCCACTGTTGGGATGTTACAACTGAGAAAGTTTAGTCCTTTTTTAGCTATACACAGTGTATTCAAGGTGTTTGGATACATGGAACATCCTGAAAGGCAGGAATCTGTTGTGCCTACTGTTTGTAAATGTTGTAAACTTACATGAGTAATTTTGCTGTGGTACCTAGAGTAGTCCTAAATCTGTCTGCTTAGTATACTCATACAAGTGTGGCCTAGACTAGAACTTGAGCTTATGGCTTGTTCTCTATTTTGGAATCATAACTGTTTTCTGAGTGTGTGGTTTGCCCAAGGTCCCCTTGTGGGTTGTCATGGCTGAACCCTGGTTTCCAGAGTTGTAATCCAACACTGAAACCACCAGCACACTGGCTTCTTGCTTCCTGGAAAATTCTCTCCTGGTTCCTGATCTGTGCCTTCAAGTCATTTCCATCTTATGGTGACCCTAAGGGAAAGCAATGAGAGAGCTTTCTCAGCAAGAGTTGTTCAGAGGGATTTTGCCATTGCCTGCCTCTGAGGATGTGAGTGTGTGACTTGCACAAGGTCACCCAGGAGCTTCTAGGGCTGACTGAGGATTTGAACTCAGGTTGGGCTAGGTTTGGGCCAAGACTCAGGAGACCAGGGTTGAAATCCTCACTTGGTCATGGAAACCCACTGGGCACATCACATAGTCAGCCCCAGGAAGCCTTTTTGCCTCAAGGTCACCATACGTTGGAAATGACTTGAAGGCACTCAACAACTCCAGAGTCCTAGCTCAACACGCAAACCACTACATCATTCTGATTTACCCCTTGTCTGACAATTTGGCTTACATCAAGTTGCATGACTTTCATGGGGTTTTTCAGAGGTGGTTTTGCCAGATTCTTCCTATGGAATATAAGGTACAGCACTAACAAAACACACCCAAATGGGAGTGCATCTCTGGATGTTTTTCTTTCCTGGTTTGGGGATGAAATTGGGGAGTTGGTGCTTCCTGTGCACTGCCTCTCATGGATAGGAAAACGACCTTGAGCTGCCTTTGTGCCATGGTCCACTTCTGGCCCACTCCTGATATTGTGTGTTAGATTTAAACAATTAATATGTGTTGTGTCATTTTTCTAGCAAACTCAATATGCTTCAGACAAAAAAAATGAAAAAGCAACTGTCCTCAGACAACCTTTTGAGCTGAATGCCAGCTTTGCATCCAAGTCTCCTTGGGTCTAGTACTGTGTAGGCCATACTGCCACACTGGGTTTTCTCCTGAGTAAACGTGCTTAAGGTTGCACTGCAGAGCCCTATGTATCCAAAATTATATGCATTTAAAGATTTGAAAATGTGGCTGCCTTCATTTATGTTATAATCCAATGCACAATAATTCAGAATTGAATCCCGCCTCTTGCTTCTAAATAAGTCTGTGTTGAAATGCAGCATTCATTTGTTTTGGTTCCTTTTTACATGTTTATTTCCTTTCAATCCATCCTGACATCTATCTTCTTCCTTTTTGCCCCATTATTCATCCTTTCCACCATCCTTTCATGATTTCTTCTTTTTTATCCCCCTATCCCCTTCCTAAATATTTCTTGGTAGGATTTGCCTGAGAAGTGGCACCGTCTTTTATTAGGTCTTCTTTGAGTCAGGTCCTTCCTTGTCAGCATCATAGCCAATTTTGCGTTCCTCCCCTCGTTTAATGAGGAATAAAGTGTCAGATCTGTGGGAGATGTTGTTAGAGTGCAATGTCAGAAAAAACTGCTTCAAAGAGCACTTTCAGTACCATGGACAGCACTGAATCTGCTCACGGGTCAAGAGGAGTTTAGTACTTTTTATAGAACCCTCCCTTTTCAGAAAAAATGCAGGAATCTTAAATATCAAAATTAATGGTTTAGCCAGTTCCTTCCTTCTGAAATATTGCCTACAGCTCCTGATATGCAAAGGTAGTCCCCCAGCCAAATATTAACTAGGGCCAACCCTACTTAGCTTCCAAGGTCAGTCAGGATCTCTGGTGCATTTAGAATATTTATTCCCTGCATAGCCCTGCAAATACTTATCAAACTAATATCAATGGAAATATAAATATTTAAAACTCAACACTTTCTAATTAAAACATATTGCAATAGATTTTTCCCATTTTGGGAAAAAATGTGTGATAGATATAAATGAAACAAGCCTGTTTAAAAGGTAATAAAAGAGTGTTGGGTCAGCATTTTGGGGGACCAGAACTTGAGTACACACTAAGCTATTGAAGCTCAGTTGAGGTAGTAAAGCTTTATTTAATATAAGGGAAGTGAACTAGTAGTACAGTAACTCAAAAGAAGCACAGCAAAACTTAAATTTAAGATCTTGACAACAAAGGAAATCCATTGCATGACCTTGGTAAACCTCCTTTTAATAAATCTCATCAGAAAAGCCATCATTTGGAATTGACTTGAAAGGCACATAACAACAAATAACAGTTGAGCTATTCCTTGGTAGAGATTTCGAAAAATGTAGGGTGACCTCTGAAATGCCCTTGTCCTTATAGATTGTGATAGATGATTTGCTCATAGGAGGATAGTGTAAGTTGATCCTGCGAAATCTGTGACTCTTCTTATAATGTTGGATTTCACTTCCCATCATCCCAAGCCAGTATGGCCATTGAACAGGAATGCTGGGAATAGTAGGTCTTCCACACTTAGAGGGCACAGATGCCAACACTATGGGCAGGTTTGCCTGGTTGCCGGTGATGGTTCATATATCTCTTGTCCATAGAAAAGAGCCATCAAATAAAACTCAGCAATAAAAATGATTAACTAAGTCTGTTCAGAAGCAGACAAGCCGACAAATGAAGGCACCAAATTCAAACAACAAATGATCTTAGTGGCATCTTTATTGCACATTGCAAGCTTAATAAAACACACAGCTAAGTTTCAGAAGGGCCCTTTTGTGTGAAAGAAGTGGTTTGTAGATCTGATTATAAGGATGCGAGAGGATTAGAGAATACTAGGACTATGGAGATGTGTGCGAATTATCCAGCAATGTTTTGCATTTCTTTGGAGGAGAAAGAACAGTAAAATATTAAGAAAATGATTTCTTCTATGGAAATTTACCTTTTTTAGCTCCAGTTTTCCCATCACTGTTAACTCTCACAATCCTTCCTAACTATAAAGAAAAGACTGTCTCTATATGAACTGAACTGAATTTAAAGAGAGTAATGGCACTGTGTGGCCAACACAAAGGAGTAGCCAAGTTTGGGTTGTTTATTAGCATATAAACTTGGAAGAGTTGACAGTTGGACTAAATTGGCTTTTGATTTGTCAGTAATGGCCAGAGTGACTGACGGCTGGCTCTGGAGAGAGCTTTTTAAGAAGCACTTTTTAAGAAGCACTTGGCACCCTTTGGAAAAGGGGAGAAATCAGCAAAGAAGAATTCCTGTAGGGAAAGGTTCACAAGGCTAAAGTGCAAAATGAGCTCAGGCTTGCTAGGGACATTAAAAGCAATAAAAGCGGCTTATTTGCTTACGCTGGTAGAAAAACAAAGAACAAGGAAGCAATAGGGCCTCCGCGAGGAGAAGATGGTAATTCTGAAAGGGGATAGGGAAAAGGCAGAACTACTTAATGCCTTCTTTCCCTCAGTCTTCTCACAAAAAGAGAGCCATCCCCAACCTCAGCAACATGAAATGGATGAAGGATTAGAGGAAATCCAACCCCAGATAGGGAAACAAGTTGTCCAGGAATACCTGGCCACTCAAAACGAATTCAAGTCCCCAGGGCTGAATCAACTACATCCAAGAGTATTGAAGGAACTAGCAGAAGTCATCTCGGAACCACTGGCAGTCGTCTTTGAGAGTTCTTGGATAACGGGACAAGTCCCAGCAGATTGGAGGAGGGCAAATGTGATTCATATCTTCAAGAAGGGAAAAAAAGGACAGCCCAAACAATCATTGTCTGGTCAGCCTCACGTCAATACCAAGCAAGATTCTGGAAAAGATAATTAAGGAAGTGGTCTGCAAACACTTAGAAAGGATTGTGGTCATTGTTAATAGTCAACATGGATTTATCAAAAACAAGTCATTTCAGACTACTTGTTTGATTGGTTTTTTCAATAGAGTTACAGGCTGGGTAGATGCAGGGAGTGCTGTGGATGGAGTGTATCTGGATTCCAGGAAGGCCTTCCTTCAACAAGGTCCTCCATGACCTTCTGGCAAAGAAACTAGTCAAATGTGCGCTAGGCAAAACTACAGCTAGGTGGATCTGAAATCGGTTAAGTGAACAGGTGATTCTCACCAATGCTTCCTCGTCATCCTGGAAAGAAGTTAGGAATGGACGGCCATAAGCAAGGTTCTGTCCTGGGCCCGGTCCTGTTCAACATCTTGATTAATAACTTAGATGAAGAGTGAGAAGGCATGATCATCAAGTTTGCAGACAGGACCAAATTGGGAGGGATAGCCAATACTCCAGAAGACAGGAGCAGAATTCAAAATGATCTTAAGAGATTGCATTGGTTCTCAACCTGTGGGTCCCCAGGTGTTTTAACCTACATTTCCCAGAAATCCCAGCCAGTTTACCAGCTGTTAGGATTTCTGGGAGTTGAAGGCCAAAACATCTGGGGCCCACAGGTTGAGAACCACTATATCAGAGAGTTGTGCCAAAACTAACAAAATTAAGCTCAACAGGGACAAATGCAAGATACACCACTTAGGCAGAAAAAATGATATTCAAAGAGACAGAATGCGGGACGATGCCTGGCTCAACAGCAGTACATGTGAAAAAGATCTTGGAGTTCTCGTGGACAGGAAGGTGAACATGAGCCAACAACATGATGACGCAGCTTAAAAAGCCAATGAGATTTTGGCCTGCATAAATATGACTATAGTGTCTAGTTCCAGGGAAGTCATTCAACCCCTCTATTCTGCCTTGGTCAGACCACACCTGGAATACTGTGTGCAGTTCTGGGCACTGCAGTTTAAGGGAGATGACAAGCTAGAATGTGTCCATAGGAGGATGACTAAAATGATCAAGGACCTGAAGAACAAGCCCTATGAGGAGCGGCTTAAAGAGCTGGGCATGTTTATCCTGCAGAAGAGAAGGCTGAGAGGAGATGTGTTAGCCATGTATAAATATGTGAGAGGAAGTCATAGGGAGGAGGGAGCAAACTTGTACTCTGCTGCCTTGGAGACTAGGATGCAGAACAATGGATTCACTACAGGAAAGCAGATTCCATGTGAACATTAGGAAGAACTTCTTAACGGTGAGAGAGAGCTGTTCAACAGTGGAACTCTCTGCCCCAGGGTGTAGTGAAGGCTCCTTCTTTGGAGGCTTTTAAACAGAGATTGGATGGCCATCTTATTGGGGGTACTTTGAGTGTGATTTTCCTGCTTCTTGGCAGGGAGTTAGACTGGAGGGCCCATGAGATCTCTTCCAACTCTATGATTCTTTATCTATAATTTTCTGGTTTTTTACACTCCCCTCTGGAATTACATGCAGGCAAACCACTTGGCTGGGAATAATGGGAGATGTAGTCCAATAAATTGAGAGACCCTCGGAGGCCTTTTACACCATACCGTTGTAGCCCTATGATGCCACTTTCGCTACCACGGTCGCATCCTGTGGACTTCTGAGGTTTGTAGTTTAGGGAGGGACTAGAGCTCTCTGGCTTGGAATTTGAAATACCTCTCTTTCTCAGTGCATTTGTATATATTGTACTGCAAAAGGACCCCAAGTTGGGGAAAAAACAACAAAAAACCCCGTTCAGCATGTTTCAGCAGACTTTTTTTTTTATATACGTGTGAAAGGTCAGGGAAATCTTGTATAAGTAGTCAAAATGCAGAAAAACAGAGGGTATAAGATCCCAACAGGCTCATTATTTTGTTGCATTTCTTGCAGCTTCCAAGTGCAGCTGTTCCATTTCAACTATCCAGACATTTGCCATGTTTAATTGCGATTCTATGGGGTCATTTTATTGTGCTAATCACCCTGACTTTTTATTACATTTAACAAGTCTCCTGCTTGGTTTATTACTTGTTCTAAATTATGTTGTAAACTGCCCTGGGATTAGTATCATGGGTTGGATCCAGACAATTATCTCATAAATTGCCTGGGTTTGGAGAGATGGGTTTGATCCAGATAGATAGATACATTTCATTTTAAACTGCTTTCTAACCACCCTGGGATGAACTTTACAGATTGGATCAAGGCTCAATCCTGCTAAGGAATGGTTGTTACCAATTTATGGTGACTGTAAAGCAAATCAATCATGGGATTTTCTTGGCAAGATTTGTTCCAAGCTGGTTTGCCTTGGCCGCCTTTTCAGGCTGAGAGAGAATGACTTGCCCAAGATATTATGTTAGAGAGGTTGAAAACCTTCCATTTGCATCATATTATATCCTTTTAGGCCCCCTGGTAGCGCAGCAGGTTAAATCGCTGAGCTGCTGAACTTGCTGACTGAAAGGTTGGCGATTTGAATCCAGGGAGCGGGGTGAGCTCTCACTGTTAGGCCCAGCTTCCGTCAACCTAGCAGTTCAAAAACATGCAAATGTGAGTAGATCAATAGGTACTGCTTCTACGGGAAGATAACGGTGTTCCATGCAGTCATGCTGGCCACATTACTTTGGAGGAGCCTATGGACAACACTGGCTCTTCGGCTTAGAAATGGAGATGAGCACCACCACCCCAGAGGCGGACATGACTAGACTTAATGTCAGGGGAAACCTTTACCTTTACCCTTTTATGACTATTCCATGCTGCAAGTCTGATGCAGTCTGAGCCCTGCCACATGCACAATGGAGGACCTCCTTAAAGCAACATCAGTGGCACTCCAAGTGGCCAGCTACTGGTCAAAGGAAATTTAGTATAATGCCAAGTTCTTAACTTTGTGTTTTTAAATACATTAGAACTGTACCCTCAATTTGCTTCTGATACGTAAATAAGTAAATAAATAGTGACGATTCTATTATTCACCTTCTCCTCCTCCCCCCCTCCCCCAGGTTGAGAATACCAATCATTGTAACCTCTTCCCTTTATTGCTTGGATATTTGCACTGAGGCTGAACAAACCTTGTTGAATAGAGATCATTCTGACTCCATAATCAAAGTTTGTCAACATTACTTTCTTTTATTTATTTAATTTATAGCCCACCTTTCTCCTAACACTGGGACCCAAGGAGGTTTACATCACAGAAAATAAAGTGTGTCTGTCTGTCTAATAAAACATTAAATATAAAAGCACTGAAAAACAGTAGAGTGAGAATCTTGTGTAGTGCCCAGAATCCATGGATTAACAGGGCCAGTGGGCAGGCTCTGGGAGTTTTGGAGTTGCGGTCCAAAACGTAACTTGGCCAAGCGCTGTTTGGACCAGTAGATGCTTCCCAGTTCAAGTAACCATTGTCCAATTCTTTCTCATCTTAGATGGGGACTCCTATTTGACTTTCTTTTTTCCTTCTTCCCTCTGCAGATATTTCACATGACCTACGACCTAGCTAGCGCTGTGATGCGGATCATTAACCTCATTGGGATGATGTTGCTCCTGTGCCATTGGGATGGCTGCCTGCAATTCCTGGTGCCGATGCTACAGGAATTCCCCAGTGACTGTTGGGTATCCATCAACGGCATGGTGGTAGGTCTACTGCTCAGCACAGTGGGGAATGGGTGAGGTCCTCAGGAAAGACTAGAAACAGGTTTGCTCCCTGGTTGAGTCTATATTTGTATAGGAATACTTGGGATTGCTTCTTTCTACCCTCACCGCCATAGTAGTAACAAGAAAACAGTAATATTTTAAAAATGACCTAAATGTGCTTTAGCTTACTTACCATGATCTGTTCCTATTAAGATACCGGAAACATTTCAACTCTTATCTCTAATGTCTCAATTTTCCTACTCCAATTAGGACTCCTTCATAATTGGAAAATATATATGAATTGGTCAAAACAAACTGATTGTAGTAAAATTCATGAGGCACATAATCCCAACCGCATAAATACTCAGGTGATTTAGGTTGATAAAGCATCAAAGTTAAGTATTTGATTAACATGTCCAAAGAAGAAAAACTTTCCTGAATCCCTGTGAAAATAAATAGGCAACAAAGTAGATATTAAATAACATTTTTAAAAGGTGAAATAAGTATAAAACGATATTGTTATAATACAGTACATTTCTAAATTTGAAGCTGGGGTCGAAGCTGGTACATTTTGACCCGCTCCAATTTCCAGCTAAAATTGCTTCCAGCCCTGCAGCCCTTCCCAATCTTTGAATAACAGCTGTCAGTGGGAAGGATGAGGCTGCTCTTTGCTTGAGGCGATTTCCTGCTGACTGCAAGGCAAGCAGCAAATGGCATGCATGCAAACAACAATTCTATGTACCTTCGTAGGGCATGTTACCATTGCGCCAAAGTATTTCCTTGGCAAGGTGCTATAGTCTGGCTATCACTTCCTTCTCTCTGTGTTTTGTGCCCCCAGATTTTGATGCAGTTGATTGTTAATTTATCATGTTGCCTGGAGTGAGAAAATTGTCACAATAAATGCCATTATTTTTGAAATGGATTTCAACCACAGAGTCATTGAATGGGCCATGTCCTCAAAGGTCATGTAGTCCAACTCTCTGGTTTGCAGCGGGTAGGGAGACAGTTCTGAGAGAAATAGAAGGATGAAATCTCAGCTTTATTCCATGCCAGGAGCAATTGATCAGAGGAAGACTCTCTGCTTTCCTCCTAGATAGCCGTTTCTCAAATGCATGTTATTGTGGTCTGGAAAGTGTTCCCCCTCCTAAGGTAGACTTACCTGCCTTGTTGTTTCAGAATGATTCCTGGAGCGAGCTATACTCCTTTGCTCTCTTCAAGTCCATGAGTCACATGCTGTGCATTGGCTATGGGCGCCAGGCACCAGAGAGTATGACTGACATCTGGCTGACCATGCTGAGCATGATTGTGGGGGCCACCTGCTACGCCATGTTTATTGGCCACGCCACAGCCCTGATCCAGTCTCTGGACTCCTCCCGGCGCCAGTATCAGGAGAAGGTAGGTGGGATGGGGGCAGGATAAAGAAAGCTGTTTGTCTATGGGGAAGTATTTGTGTCAATAAAGGGAGATGTGAACCTGTATACCTGTCCCTTAAGAATCACAGGATCTTCTGTTTAGATGCATCAAAGATCTAGGTATCTTAAGAGGCCAGTGTAGCATCACAGCATACTGTCCAGATCAGGGGAAGTATTCGTCCCACTCTTGGGTCTGATCTCACCTGGGATAACCCTATGTGTCCAGTTCCGGGCCTCACAGTTCAATAATGATATTGAGCATGTTCAACAAAGAGGAGTCAAGATGTTCAAAAGATCTGCAAACCAAGCCATATGAGGAATGACTGGAGGAACTCAGAACATTTTGTTTGGATATCAGAAGATTGAGAAGAGTCACGGGAGCCATCTCTAACTATCTGAAAGGAAGTCATGCAGGCAACAGAGCAAGCTCCTTGCTGCTGCTGCAGAACAAAAGCCAATGGGTTCAAATGACAAGAAAAGAGATTCCGCCTAAACAGTAGGAGGAACTTTTTGACTTTAAGAGTTGTTCAACAGGGAAATGGACTGCCTTTTTTGGACCCTCCTCCTTTAGAAGCTTATTTATTTATTTATTTGTTTGTTTGTTTGTTTGTTTATTTATTTAGGGCATTTATATCTCGTCGTATCTCACTTCCGCAGAGGGACTCAGGGCAGCTAAACCGGCACAGCACAGTGCCCACAATAAGAAAAGCATAAATATACATAATATAATAAAAACAGTATAAAAACAATTATAAAATATTAAAACACATCGCCAAATTCAGTCATCCTAAAAGCAGTCCATCATAGTCCATTTTAGATGGACCTCTCACAGGAATGCTGTAAGTTGGGTACTTCTAAAGGGGATCAAACTTTGTAGTCCCTTTCAGCTCAGAGGTTCTATAATTCCATGACTCTAAATACATTTAATTACAACCATTTCATTGGAGTATGGCTCTTTTCTATGACTCTTAGCTAGAATAAAACCTCCCAGCATGGAGACATTGTAGAACTGTCAGCCAGTTCATGCCACGGTATTTTGTGGCAGTGTTTGAAACATGCTTGGTGCTCTGAGGCTTGAGGAGGCCGCATAAGAAGGATTTGTACCTTTGTTTACCTTTAGGCCACACATTCCCCAATCCCTGGCATCAGGAAAGGCTTGAACATTGCCTCTGATTTTAATTCAGAAACAAAGAGTCATTGATTGATACATTTTGTGATGCTGGCTGAGATTGTATTCAGGGACTTGAGGATGCACAAGAGAGTCAACATTTTGGGCTGGAACTGACACTGAATGATGCCTGGACTCAGCAGAAAGTAGGGCTCTCTTCCTCTCCATTCCTATTGCCAGATCAAGCCTCCTTCTGCTTTCTGACAGCCCCGCTGGCTCTGGAGAGGGCCTGAAAGCACTAAAGTATCAAGGCATGGAAGCAGCTGTCACTGGCTTCTGCCCATCTATGGTCCCCTGGGCCACAGGACAGAAAGAGAAAAGCACAATCTCCTCCGATTGTTTGTTTCCCTCTTCATCCGTCTTGATGCTTGGCTGACCTGAGCAGGTGGATCTCGCGGGAATAACAAGTCCCTTTCTCCTGACAGCATTTCCTGACAGACCCCCCACCCCCAACAAAACATGCCTACATTTGCAGTGGGTTTGCTTTCCTGCATTTCCTTTCTCCCTTTTAATTGTTAGCCAGTGCATATAATGATGATGGTGATGATGATGACAACAACAACAACAGCAACAACTTTATTTATATCCTGCCCTATCTCCCTGAGAGGTCTCATATTAAATGTGTATGTTTTTTTCTGGATTCACATGATACAGAGGATTAAAGGATTTTAATATACTTATTTTTTAACTGATGTTAACATTGTTGAGTAATGGCTGAATTAATCAAGGAATGAACTGGTTGCCACTAATGGCAAGAGGACCTTAAAGCACCTCTGTCATGACAGAGCACTGTGTTTTCCCCAGAATCGTGGGGAAGGATGTGTTGCTTCACCCTAGAGATGTCTGCTTCTGTCTCTCAGGTTGCAGGGATTTTGTTGCTGTTACTGTTATTATTATTAAGACAGTATTAAGGCAGTCTCTGTGGATGTAACTGAAGCATCTGTTTGTCATGGTTCTATGGATTCCTTTCAACTTATTCATCCTGGGGACATGGACAAGAACTTGGGAGGAATGAGACCGACCACTTGCTCTCTGGACCCTTGCCCATCCTGGCTCATTGAATTAGCCAGGGGAGGGGGGGACTGTCGGAGTGGGTGAAAGTGCTGGTAAATGCCTCCCTGACCCAGGGCATAATGCCAACTAGTTTCAGGGAGGCAGTAATAAGACCCTTATTAAAGAAACTGGCACTGGATCCCACTCAACTGAGTAATTATAGGCCAGTATTCCACTCAACTGAGTAATTATAGGCCAGGTCCCACTCAACTGAGTAATTATAGGCCAGTATCCCCTTTCTGGGCAAGGTTCTAGAGAGGGTGGTGGCCTCACAACTCCAAAGATTCTTGGATGAAACTGATTACCTGGATCAATTCCAGTCTAGTTTCAGGCCTGGCTATGGGACAGAAATTGCATTGGTCACCTGGGTAGATGATTTACAAAGAGATCTAGACGGGGAGTCCTCCTGGACCTCACAGCAGCTTTCGATACCATTGACATGATATCCTTCTGGGTCGTCTCTCCGAGATGGGGTTTGGGAGCACTGTTTTACAGTGGCCCCAGATTTTCCTGGAAGGTCAGACCCAGATGGTAGTGCTGGAGGACTCCTGTTCAACCCCCTGGCTAGTGGCCTGTGTGGTCCCTCAGGGTTCAGTTCTGTCCCCCATGCTGTTTAACATTTACATGAAACTGCTATGAGAGATCATCCAGAGTTTTGGGGTTCAGTGTCAAATTTATGCGGACGACAACCAACTCTATTACTTCTTTCCACTGAAAGCCAAGGATGTGGTCCTGCCCCTAAACCAGTGCCTGTCATCAGTAATGGACTGGATAAAGGCCAATAAGTTGAAAGTAGACAAAACAGAGGTACTCCTGGTCAGTTGGAAGGCGGAGCAAGGTGTGGGATTACAGCCAGTGTTGGATGTGGTCACACTTCCCCTGAAGACACAGGTCCACAGTCTGGGGATGATCCTGGACTCATTCCTGACCATGGAACTCTAGGTGTCGGAAGTGGCCTTTGCACAATTAAAACTTGTGTGCCAACTGCGCCCATACCTTGAGACACCAGATCTGGCCATGGCAGTCCACACCTTAGTTGCATCCTGCCTGGACTACTGCAATGCTCTCTATGTGGGGCTACCTTTGAAGATAGTTTGGAAGCTGCAATTGGTTCAGAGATCTGCAACTGGATTACTAACTGGAGCACCGTCTAGGGAGCAGACAACTCCCATGTTACGGCAGCTCCACTGGCTGCTGGTCTGCTTCTGGGCTCAATACAAAGTGCTGGTTATTACATATAAAGCCCTAAAAAGTTCGGGCCCAGACTATTTGAAAAACCACATCTCCACATACAAACCAACATGAGCACTGTGGTCTGCGGAGGAGACCCTGCTCTCGGTCCCACCCGTCTCAAGTGCGGTTGGTGGGAACTAAAGAGAGAGCCTTTTCCGTAGCCACTCCCTGCCTCTGAAATTCCCTCCCTAAAGAACTAAAAAAGGCTCCCTTCTTCCTCTTTTTCAAAAAGCTTTTAAAAACCTACCTATGTACTCTAGCCTACAGAGAGGTGGATTAGGACATCTTTATATACCCTTACCTAGTTGCTAACAGTGGCCCTTATTTCTCATGCCAGTAAGGTAATGCTCAAGATCCTGCAAGGAAGACTCCAGCAAGACATGGAGCGAGAGTTGCCAGATGTTCAAGCTGGGTTTAGAAAAGGCAGAGGAACGAGAGACCAGATTGCCAATATCCGCTGGATAATGGAGAAAGGCAGGGAGTTTCAGAAAAACATCTATTTCTGCTTCATTGACTACTCTAAAGCCTTTGACTGTGTGGATCATAATAAATTGTGGCAAGTACTTGGTGGGATGGGCATCCCAAGCCACCTTGTCTCTCTCCTGAGGAATCTGTACAAGGACCAAGTAGCAACAGTAAGAACTGGTCACGGAACAACAGACTGGCTCAAGATTGGGAAAGGCGTACGGCAAGGCTGCATACTCTCACCCAACCTTTTTAACTTGTATGCAGAACACATCATGCGATGTGCGGTGGATGAATGCAAAGCTGGGGTGAAAATTGCTGGAAGAAACATTAACAACCTCAGATATGCAGATGACACCACTCTGATGGCCGAAAGCGAGGAGGAGCTGAGGAGCCTTCTAATCAAGGTGAAAGAAGAAAGCGCAAAAGCCGGGTTGCAGCTAAACGTCAAAAAAACCAAGATTATGGCAACAAGAATGATTGACAACTGGAAAATAGAGGGAGAAAATGTGGAGGCCGTGACAGACTTTGTTTTTCTAGGTGCAAAGATTACTGCAGATGCAGACTGTGGCCAGGAAATCAGAAGACGCTTACTTCTTGGGAGGAGAGCAATGTCCAATCTCGATAAAATAGTAAAGAGTAGAGACATCAGACTGGCAACAAAGATCCGCCTAGTCAAAGCCATAGTATTCCCTGTAGTAACCTACGGATGTGAGAGCTGGACCTTAGGGAAGGCTGAGCGAAGGAAGATCGATGCTTTTGAACTGTGGTGCTGGAGGAAAGTTCTGAGAGTGCCTTGGACTGCGAGAAGATCCAACCAGTCCATCCTCCAGGAAATAAAGCCCGACTGCTCATTGGAGGGAAGGATAATAGAGACAAAGTTGAAGTACTTTGGCCACATCATGAGGAGACAGCAAAGCCTAGAGAAGACAATTATGCTGGGGAAAGTGGAAGGCAAAAGGAAGAGGGGCCGACCAAGGGCAAGATGGATGGATGGCATCCTTGAAGTGACTGGGACTGACCTTGAAGGAGCTGGGGGTGGTGACGGCCGACAGGGAGCTCTGGCGTGGACTGGTCCATGAGGTCACGAAGAGTCAGAGACGACTGAACGAATGAACAACAACAAAAGTTGCTAACATCTACCTTCACTTGTTAGATGTTACATACCATCCTAGTTTTAATGCTTTTAGTCTAATTTTTAAGAGTTGGAAGAGCTTTTGTTGTTTATTTGTTCAGTCGCTTCCAACTCTTCTTGACCTCATCTTCAAGGTCAAGCCATTCACTTCAAGGATACCATCCATCCACCTTGCCCTTGGTCGGCCCCTCTTCCTTTTTCCTTCCATTTTCTTCTCCAAGCTTTCATTATCTTCTCCATGCTTTCCTGTCTTCTCATTATGTGGCCAAAGTACTTCATGTTGGCCTCTAATACCCTTCCCTCCAGTGAGAAGTCAGGCATTATTTCCTGGAGTATGGACTGGTTGGATCTTCTTGCGGTCCAAGACACTCTCAAAATTTTCCTCCAACACCACAGTTCAAAAGCGTCTATCTTCCTTAGCTCAGGCTATTATGTTGTAAATGTGTGTGTGGTATTATATTATATTTATTATGTTTATTTAAGTTTGCATTTTTTTAAAAAAAATTGAGTTTGTTTACTCACTGTTTGATTTGTTATTTGTTGTTTTTGGCATTTAATGTTTGCCACTGTGTTATTCCCACTGGAAACTGCCCTGAGTCCATTCAGGGAGATAAGATGAATAATAATAATAATTATAATTATTATTATTATTATTATTATTATTATTATTATTATTATTATTATTATTATCCATGTTGATTAAGTATCATAATCATAAAAAATAAAAAGGAGATTCATATCAACCAGTCACAAGTGATGACCAGAGAAGCAAGCAAAAGCAAATATTTAACCTCCATATAATTTATTTATTTATTTATTTATTTACGACATTTATATGCTGCCCTTCTCACCCCGAAGGAGACTCAGAGCGGCTTACAAGTAATATGTAAATACAATATATTATATCATTACCATAGCACAATATTAGTATTATATATTTCTATATTGTACAATACCATTATACTGTAATACTATTAATAATATTACATGTAATATAAATATATAATTATAATATCATATTATCAATATTATATGTATATATATTATATTATATTTTATTATATTATATTATTATTAGCACAGTGCAGGAGACAAGGTAGAACTGTCTTCCTGGCCCCTCTGTTCACTCTGGTCCCAGAGCAGCCGTTGGTGCTGAGGGGAGGGGCTCCCAGAAAAACAGAAAGAAGAATGGAAAAGAAAAAAAAGGCAGTGGGAGAAGAAAGAACAAAGTAGACTTTTATGTTTTTTATTTAAAAAATTAAATGATCATTTTATACATTTTAGAGATCCTTCTATTCTCTAATTGTGAAGGAAAGTTAGTTATCAAAACCCACAGGGGATATTTTATTTCTGCTGTGCCTTAAAACAACTATAAGAAATGGTTCCCATTTCTTGGAAATGTATGTGTTGTTCATCTCTTTCTGCCATTTGAAATATTTCCTCTGTCCAGTTCTTAACTGAGGACATTACCATGCTCTTCCACAGTTGTGTGCATAGAGTATTCTAGCTGCTGTGACCATATATAGCAGGATCTTTTTCTTTTGAGTATGACATGGCCTGAGGTTTGGATGGGGTGAGGGAAGAGCCATGGATTCTGCCTTGCTCTAACAAGAGGAAAGAAATGTGATGAAGAATTTGTGAAGTCATAAATATCTGCCATTGCACTGACCTCCTCTTGCCCAATTCTTACAGTATAAGCAAGTGGAACAGTACATGTCCTTCCACAAGCTGCCGGCTGACTTTCGGCAGAAGATCCATGACTACTATGAGCATCGGTACCAGGGGAAGATGTTTGATGAGGACAGCATCCTGGAGGAGCTCAATGAACCCCTGCGAGAGGTACGTACCCTTCCTGGATCACATGATCGTAGCGTGGTGGGCAGACGTCAGGCTGAGCAGTCAATACTGAAATTACAAAGTAGCCCCAACAAGCCTGTATGTATATGTGTGTGTGTGTGTGTGTGTGTGTACACACACACACACACACACACACACACACACATACACAAATGCATGGAATGGGGTGTCATTTTCACTACACAAACCTGGACTGTTTTTGGGGCCAGGATAAGTTATGCAGGAGGAGTGTGTCTTGTTTTAAAGAAGACATTGTGCAGAAAAGGTATGATTCTATGACCCAATGCAACTTTGCCCTCCCACAATTTCTTTGGTCTGTTCCCCCGCCAGGAGATTGTCAATTTCAACTGCCGGAAGCTGGTGGCCTCCATGCCCCTCTTTGCCAATGCTGACCCCAATTTTGTGACTGCCATGCTCACCAAGTTGAAGTTTGAGGTCTTCCAGCCAGGCGACTACATCATCCGTGAAGGGACCATCGGCAAGAAGATGTACTTCATTCAACACGGGGTGGTGAGCGTCCTCACAAAAGGCAACAAAGAGATGAAGCTGTCAGACGGCTCCTATTTTGGAGGTGAGGCTGAGCAAGGCTCTTACATCTCAGCAGATAGATCAGTAGACAGCTACTTAACTGCCTTCCGTTGTGTCGTGTCAGAAGCAAATTGAGGGGACAGTTATAATGTACTTAAAAACACAAACCAAGTTTAAAACTTGGCATTATGCTAAATGTCCTTTGACCAGAAGCTGGCCACTTGGAGTGCCTGTGGTGTCACTGTGAGGAGGTCCTCCATTGTACTTGTAGCAGGGCCAAGGTTGTATTGTAGTAAGTGATCTGTGGTTTGCTCTTCTCCACACTCGCATGTTGTAGACTCCACTTTGTAGCCTGATTTTTTTAAGGTTAGCTCTGCATCTCATGGTGCCAAAGTGCCTTCCAGGTCATCCACTCTTGTGCCCAGGAGAGAGTCTCTCATCTGGTATCAGCCACTGATTGAGGTTCTGGGTTTTAGTCTGCCAATTTTGGACTCTCGCTTGCTGAAGTATTCCTGCAAATGTCTCTGAAGCTGTTTCTTGATTTAAGACATTGGCGTGCAAGCTGATATCTGAACTGAGAATAGACCGGACATGTCAATGCCTTGGTCCTTTCATTACTGGCTGCTACTTCCTGATGGATGTCGGGTGGTGCAATACTGGCTAAACAGTATAATTTCTCCAGCAGTGTTGGGCGTAGACATCCTGTGATAATGCAGCATGTCTCATTAAGAGCCACATCCACTGTTTCAACATGGTTAGTTGTATTCCACACTGAGCATGTGTATTCAGCATCAGAGTAGCAAAGCGCAAGGGCAAATGTTTTCACTTTGTCTGGATATGATCCCCAGGTTGTGCCAATCAGCTTTCATACTGCCTTCCAATCTACATCCACTTGTTCCCCTAGTGATCTATTGTATGCCTTCAAGTTGTTTCCAACTTGTGCAACTCAAAAGTTAATCCATCATGACATTGACCTTGGCTCTCCTCCTTTGGAGGAAACTTGACTTTGCCTCCTCTGAGACAGAGGGTGATTTGCCCTAAGTTTCCATGATTGAGTGAGCCTTTGAACCCTGTTCTCAAGAGTCATAACATTCAAACCAGCACACTGCACTGGCTGTCCTAGGTGACATCAAGACTATGTTCAGAAATGTTAAATCGTTGTATCTCCTTTTTAGAAACATGGCTGCATTTGAGCACAGTCTCTTGGAGAACAGTGGGAAGGTGTGCTTTAAAAGGGTGCTTGAGATGAAAAACGTTCTTGTGGCCCCTCTTTGTGATATGGGAACCATTGAAGGTGGCACAAATTGGGTTTTCCCCATTGTGTGAGTGGCAAGATGATTGGTGACCTCACCAACACCATTATGAGGAGGCTGGTTTCTCCCAAAACCCCTGAAAGGTTGCTTCCTACCTGCCTGAGTAGCGTTTCTCCAAACCAGCCAAGTGCAGAGGTGTGATGTGTTTCCTAGGAGAGATGTCAAGAGCTGGCACAATGTAGCATCCTTCTCAATTCCCTTCCCAGCCCCTGCTCTCAAATTGGTATTAATATTCATTTATATTCAGTCTTTTCACTCACCTCTGGAGCCCAAGAGAGCTTGCAAAAAATTAAGAAATACATAAAACCACTTGGAGGGCCATAACTAATATAAGCACTGAGGTTAAATCACTTGCAAAGATCTGAAAGAGCAACACATCCTGGCTTCTCTAAGGAGGAGAGTAAAGCCTGGGAGCTGTCACCCAGAAGGCCCTGTCTTGTGTCCCTACTAGACAGCAAGCTAAATAGCCAGGAATCCTTATGCAATCCATGTTTTGATATTGAACAGTTTTCTCTGTCTCTCCTTTAGAGATCTGCTTGCTGACGAGAGGCCGGAGGACTGCGAGTGTCCGTGCTGACACCTACTGCCGCCTCTACTCCCTCTCAGTGGATAACTTCAATGAAGTCCTGGAGGAATATCCCATGATGAGGCGGGCTTTTGAAACAGTTGCCATCGATCGCCTCGACCGCATAGGTATGGCTGTGTATTGGGGCCAAGGTGTTGGAAAGTTCTCTGTAGCAGACCACACTGGCAAGGTTAGACCTGGACAGAACTGATGTTGTGTGTGTACAGTGAATGGTGGGCAAATTGGAATGGGTAGCTCTGGAGTCAGTTTCCCAGTACTATTTGACTTGCAGGCTCATGTCTCCCATGTCAAAGAGAGCAGTGAATCCATTCTAGGGTATAGTATGAACCTGAAGCTGTATTTCAAGGTGTTACCCCTGTGAATAGGTTTTTACTTCTGGAGGGTTTCATCAGGATTTGAGCCAAACCTGGAGTGGATTCCCTGCTCAGCCACCTCATAGTCTGAGCCACCTGCAGGGTCAAGGGTTTTCCATTTTTCTTCCCTGGGGTGAGTTTGTGGAAGAAGCTTTGGGCCTTGACTGATTGTGCCTCACCACAGCTACCTCTTCCCTCCCTCCTTTCTTCTGCTGCAGGTAAGAAGAACTCCATCCTGCTGCACAAGGTCCAGCATGACCTCAACTCGGGTGTCTTCAACAACCAGGAGAACGAGATCATCCAGGAGATCGTCAAGTATGACCGGGAAATGGTGCAGCAGGCTGAGCTGCAGCAGCACGTGGCCATGTACGCCCCACCCCAGCCCCAACCCCAGGTGACCTCGGCCATCGCCACCCTTCAGCAGGCCGTAGCCATGAGCTTCTGCCCGCAGATGGCCAGCCCGCTGGTTGGCCCCATGGGTCTCGGCTCACCCCGCATGGCCCGCCGGCTGCAGTACCAGGGAGGCATTGCCGGGCCCTTTGCCATTTCCCCAGCTTTGCTCCAGCAGCATCGCCACCAACAGCAGCAGCTGAACTTGCAGCAGCAACACCAACAGCAACAGCAGCAGCAGAACATCCTGCAACTGCAGTCACAAAACATCCAGCCGCAGCAGCCAAACATGGCGCCACAGCAGCCTCCGCAGCCTCTGCCGGCCTCCGCAGCCAGCCCTCTCCCCTCCTCCTCGGTGCCCAGCCCGCCCTCCCAAAGTCCCTGCGCCAGCCGGACGTTCCCCTACGAGGGCAGCCCCAAAGGCCAGTCGGGCTCCCAGCTCTCGCTGGCACAGCAGAAGCCCCCCGGCTCCCCGCAGCGCCTGGCGGCCCACAAGAGCACACAGGCCCTGCACACCAGCAGTCTGAGTCAAGAGAGCCGCCCGCTCTCAGCCTCCCAGCCCTCCCTCCCGCARGGCATCTCTCAGACCATGAGCCAGAGCCCCCCTTCCTCAGCTCACGATTCCACCACTTCCATCCCGGCGGCGGCAGCAGCAGGGACTGGGGGGGCCTCTCCTGCTTCGCCTGCCTCCTCAACGCAGAGCTCTAGCGGCACACCTCAAGCCACGCCACGGGGAGCTGCCCCACCACCCTCCCGCGTGGGCCTGCCCCACCAGATGCCGGCTGCTGCGGCAGTAGGGTACCCACCGGGGGCTGTGTCTAGCCCCACCGCTGCCTCCTCAGGCCTCCCACAGGACTCAGGTTGTGCCCGCAAGGATTCCAAAGTTAGCGCACCCGACACGGACCCAGCAAAATCGAAGCTCCCTTCCAACTTGTGACCTTTGGCCTCAGTGGCAGGGAGGTGGGAAAGGTTGTGTAGGGAGGTCAGAAGGGGCACCGCCCTGCTGGCCGCTCCCCACCACATGGCAGATTGAGCCGGCAGCAGGGCTGTGCTGCAGAAATCCATCGTGGCTCCTTTTCTCTCATGCTGACCATTGCTCGCTCTGCAAAATCGGGAAAGCGAAAAAGGTGGGGACGTTCTGGGCCTGTCTCTTTGTATCTGCTGCTTTATCAGTTGGGGGTCCCAAGGGGCTGTGGGGCCAGGAAGCTTGACGCCACAGGAAGGGGAGMGTTCTTTGGAMGACTGGTCTTCCCCATTTGGGGGGCAGGAAGAGCCGCCGGTCCCCTTGTAGCTCCTGACCAAAGTTTGGCTCCCATCGTCCCCTGCGGTCATCTCCATCCCGCCTCTCACCCRGCTGTGACCGTATCACAGAAAGCCATAACCTAGTTTATCGCGCAACTTAATCCAATGTGTGTAAAATAATATACATATCTATATATATATGAATATACATATCTAAAGAGAAATAACAATATAGATATCTATATGAGGTAAACCATATGTGCAGCGCCTTATACCGCCCCTGCTCTGTTCGGAGCCTGGAAGGAAGGGGATTCGGGGAGAGGGGAATCTGGGAGTGTGATGGCCGAATGGTTGTGTTCAGGACGGAGAGTTTCCTCGAAAGGCATTGCTGCTTTTCAACCTCATTTTCCCTTGGAAACAAGGAAATGTTCCCCCTTTCCCTCTGAAAACATAAGAAATCTCTTCCTGTGGGGTGGCCATATTGGGGAGCAGTGTTGAAAGAAATGGTTACTCTTCCAGTAGTCTTCAGTGAAGAATAAGTCATATTTTTGCCTTCCATTAGTAGCCTTTCCTTCCCTTTTGCTCCTCCTCTGCCCCCTTCCTTCCTCCTTCCTTCCTTCCCCATCTGGTGCCTTCTTCTGCAAAACCCAATGCTGATTTGTAGAGCTCTCAGCCACATGATGTGGTTCTTCTGCTTGCTTGCTTAATCGATTCAGGGTGGGCATTGTTTGTTTTTGGTGGTGGTCCTTATACCTGGCATTTTTACTTCAATGCTCTGACAGTGAAAAAAATGCTTCCTAAAGGCTTTTCCAAGAATGCCTTATTTGTTGTTTAGGGCTTTACAAGCGAAAACTTAAGTCTGGTTGAGGAGGAGCGGAAAAGCATCTGGTCTTTTCAAATTCCAAGAAAAGAAAGACCAGGAATGTTTAGCTGTAACAGCTGTAAGAGTCTTGGAGGAGGGTGGATTCTCCTCCTTTGGAGGACTTGTTGGTTGGATAGGCATCTTCCAGGAGGGCGTTAGTCGTGAATTCTTGTGTGGTGGTGTCTAGGACTAGATGGCCTTTCTGGGCCTTTCTGTGCTGTCGGTTCTGCCCTTAGCCTTTTTGCCACTAGATGGTACCCCCACAAGAGACATTTATCTGGAATTGGACATGATTTTGGTTTTGGACAGCTGTCTCCAAACCTGTGCCAACAGCTAGCGAACAGGACGCTTCTTGGTCTTCGCAGTTGTTATTACAGTAGAGTCTTGCTTATCCAACATAAATGGTCCAGCAGAACGTTGGATAAGTGAAAATGTTGAATAATAAGGAGGGATTAAGGGAAAGCCTATTAAACATCGAATTACGTTATGATTTTACAAATTAAGCACCAAAACATCATGTTTTATAAACAAATTGACAGAAAAAGCAGTTCCAAACATGGTAATGTTATATAGTAATTCTGTATTTACAAAATTAGCACCAAAACATTGCAGTGTATTGAAATAGCTTTGGATCCGGGCGGGAGGCCTACTGCGTTGGATAATACAGTACGCTGGATGGGCGAAGGTTGGATAAGCGAGACTCTACTGTATTATTATTAGTGAAGATTACAGAGATTTCTTCTTGCCAGAACTTTCAAAATTACTTTTTAAAAGCTGTTTTTTTCAAAAGAGACCCATTGCTTTTACTAAAAAGTACTGTGTTTTGCCTCTAGTTACTTTTTGTTATGTTTGGCTGCCTTAAAAAGAAAAGAAAAAACAAGGATTGAAAGAAATTTTATTTATTTATTTATTTATTTATTTATTTATTTATGTAAACATTTCTGCCATAACACCCCTGAATTGTCCTTTAAAATATGTTGAAGGCGACAACTGTGGCTTGTTATCGCAACAAAGTAACTTTAGGTACTAAAATTGTTTTGAAATGCAACTTTGCTTCTGCCCGCTTGACACATTTCCTTCCTAGTTCTGGCCTTTGGCTCAGTTGGGTTTGTGTTGCCTAAAAGAAGACACTTTTGCACTGGCGACTGTGTTGAAGAATAGGCAGGAACTCTTTGAATCTCTCTTCTCCTTTTCCGAAGCAAAAGCAGTTGCTAAATGTGAAAATATTCCCGAAATCGCACCATCTTAGCTTTCTCCTTAGGCTGCTTCTGGAGAACAGCCACCCTTTCGGGGGACTTGGAGAACAATTTGTAGAGACTCTTGGGGTGCCATTTGGTTGAAAGAGGAGCCTGTGGGTGGATTTCCAGATACTTTAAAGTCTTCCTACATTAACTTTACAGAAGACAGGCTCAGCTGTGGATCTTCTGGCACTTTAAATTCCATCAGCCGTAGGTGACACAGGCAGTAGTCAGTGTCAGGGATAATGGGAACTGTGATCAGGTAGTACCTGGAGTGCACAGGTTCCTCTTTAAGATTTTGTTTATGCCATTTACTCCTCTAAAACGGTAGAGTGTGCCAATCTTTCTTGTTTCTTCCTAAAACTGCCCTGTGAGGTAGGTTGGTCTGAGACATGGAAAGGTGGATTTTGAATAGTCCTCTTCTTGGCAAAACCTGAACCATGCTGTGGCTTTTCTATGAGGCCTTGTGTGCCAATATTGGCCAGGAAAGACTTTGAAGAAGAGGGGAGCGCAAGCATGTGCAGTTGAGTCATCTCCGCCCACCTGCCTCCGTCCTTCCTCCTTCACGACTCAAGCGGAGAGGAGGAGAGTCGGCCTCGATATAGAACTGGCCCCCGAGAGTCTCCCACCCGTGGTGGCAGTCTTCCCAAAAGTCTCCCTGCCGCAGTTGCGTTGCTTGCACATTGCTGTGGCCTTGTTCCTACACCTTGCTCTATGAGCCCCATGGTGTACGCATTTTGGGTCTGCGACCACGTTCTTCACCTCTTTTGAGGCAGTGTGTATGTGGCTCTTGTTTGTGCATGGACGTGATGTGGCACCAGGGATACCCAAAGAGCCCTGATCTGCATCCAAAGTATTTTTCTCATCACCGCACCTGATAGGGCTCTTTGAGTTGCCATCAGAATAGACTGCATCCACAGGAGTGTAGTGACTAGATCAGGGGTTCTCAAACATTTTAAGCCAAGAGCCAGTTCACAGTCCCCCAGACCATTAAGGGGCATGACTATAGTTTGAAAAAAAAGGATGAATTCCTATGCACACTGCACATATTTTATGTGTAGTGCAAAAGAGATACAATATTCAAAAGGAAGAACCACTTTTACCAACATAAACTTACCAGTATTTCAATTGGAGGTATGGGCCTGCTTTTGGCTGATGAAGTAGTCAAGTTAATGAGGATTGTTATTGTGTGCCTTCAAGTTGTTTCAGGGCAGGGGCCGGATAAGTGATCTTGAAGAGCCTCATCCAGCCTGCGGACCATGGTTTGGGGACCCTTGCTCTAGACCAGTGGGAAGACATAGTCCCACTCTGTTCTGCTTTCATCAGGCCTTACCTGGAATAATCTTGTGTCCAATTCTGGGGGAAAGAAATTCAAGGATACAAGATGGAAGGTGTCCAAAGAATGGTTACAGGTCTGAAAACCAAGAATGCCTCTGAGGAGCATCAGCAGGAGCTGGGGAGGTTTAGTTTGGAAATAGAAGGTTTAGAGGGGCCATGAAAGGGTGTCATATTGAAATGGGGCTGATCCAAACACAAGGTACAGCTCTCCCGAGACCCAGTTTGCCTCATCTCAGCAAAGTCTGGTTTCCAAGAGAGTATCCCTGCCTCCCTGTCATCTTCCTTACCATGCATTTGTGATCCGGCAAGGGAAAATAGGGATATGCAGGTTATCCGTGTGCTTCTGTATCCATTCCATTTGCTTGAAATATATGTGCGGTTGGACAGGTTGGTCCAACTACATTCCTTGAAACTCAGGTGTGTTTAATTTTGAGGAGTTGATGTGTATTTGGGCAGATTCTTGCCTGGTTCTTTCCAGCTGGTTTACCGGACAGGCTTAGAATGAGCCACCAGAAATGGCAGACGATCAGAGATGCTCCTCGGCTATTAAAATAAAAATGGAATGAACGCTGCATTTAAAAGGCACCCGAGAGTTTTCAAAGGGCAAAATTGGTGAGGTACTGCCATGAAAATCATGGGGCTCATGTGTTTTTTTCCCACAGTGGGCAAAGAGAATGCCATACAGGTGATTTATATTAGAACGGGGGGGCACTTAACGAACACGTGGGAGAAAGTGCAGCAAATGCTCTTTTACAAACACTGTGTGTGTCTCTGTGATTTTGGCTCTGACTATAGAGTGCAAACCTCCATTGAAAACTGCGAAACTTACATCCAATAGCATTCGTAGGATCGCATGGCATATTTTGAATTTCTCCAGGGATTGGGTTTCGAACCTTGCTTCCAAGTCCCCGTCTTCCCGTTTGGTTATTCTGGCTCTTCAGACTTGGAAGAGGAAAGGCTCCATTCACCCTCGGGGCACCTTTGTGTCCGGTTGCTTCTGTGTCTTTCCAGTCTGCGGGGGGGGGGGGGGGGGGGGGGGGGGGGGGGGGGGGGGAGATGCTCCCTTAAGTATTCCCAGTATTTTGGCTTTTTGACTGAGCCGGTGCCCAATTTCTAATGCCTTTGTGTTCTGCTTGGTGAGTGGCCTGTGAGCTCTTTTGCAGAGAGCAGGGCGGTGCGTTTCGGAGCAGCCCCCCTTTTGCCAAACCTGTACCATCTGTGTCGAATGTACAGCCGATCAACCAACCCCGGCTAAACGTTTGCCTGGCGGGAGTCTTGCAGGATTTCTGTGACCCAAAAACTGGCTGCTTTCTCTCCCTTGGGCAACTCTCCGCCTGTTCATTGGGGACCCATCCTGTGTAATAAAACATGGCAGAACTGAACTGTGCCTCTCTCTGGTTTTTCCCTCATGTTTTTCTCTGGGGTTGAAAGGAAACACCTTACCTAGCCTTTACCTGAGGTGGGCCCATGGCATTCGCTGGGCTTCATGCCAAACCCCTTGTGGACCAAATCTGTGGATGCTGGGGTCCCATTATATCCAATGGCATAGTAAAAAGGGACCGAGATTTGGAATTCTTGCGCAAAGTGTGCCCTCTTCTGGCTCACTTAAGGCTCACAGTGTGTTCAGATGTGAAAGAATAGCCTTGCCAGCCAATGAGAAAAAGGCATTGTTACCAGTGTGTTGCACCTTTTGTAGTCACCCAGGATTTATAAAGACAAAACAGCTGTGCTCACATGCTAAAGGTGGCTCTTACAAATTTTACAATTGGTTGTGAATGTACTTTGTTAAATCTTTATGCTTTAAATCACCCTGAAAAATGTCCATTTTGCAACAAATGGAACAAGAAATGTGTTGGGAAAACATGAAATAACTTTGGAGCATTGTTTTTTTTTGGGGAGGGGGGTTGGTCAAATTTGAAAAAAGGGGCTGTGTATTTTGAGGCTGAACATGCCTGTGCCAGACTCTTTTCTGCACAGAAAACTCAGTTCCTGTCACAGGCAGAGAGGTGGGTTGTTTTACGAGGAACAGATTCCAAATCACAAAAACAGCCACCAGCTCAGGGTGCTCCTCATTTCCTAACACTTGAGAAACAGGTTCAAACACTTGTCCACATTTGCCAAATATTTCTTGGAGATCTCGTTTGCTCCCTTGACCTTTGTATGTGTGTCTGCGTACTCTTGTTTTGTTGTTCCTTTTCTTTGTTCCTCTCACTATGTTTCTGGAAAACTCCACCCTTTGTTGCTGACCGTATCTTCCAGCCTTGAAGAATTATTTACAAAACACCCAATTGATTGTGATGGGACTGAGTAAGAAAAGGTTTTCCTTTTTTGACAAGGAGGCTTCCTGTTTGCACAGCCTCACTGGACTCAGCAGGGAGGATTGTGCCATTCCGGCTGGAAGAATGGAGTTGGGTTAGAGGACCCTTCTGTGGAAATCTATCCCTCTCATTTCAAGCAGACTTTCCAAAACATAAAGGTCAGAAAATTGTTTCCACTCTACATGCAAAGGAATTCCTGTATTTTTTACTATTCTCTAGCTATTCTCTGCAGAACAACATTTGCACAAGGGAGACCTGACATGAAACAGTGGCCTTTCTAATCCAGCAGGAGGCAGCCGTCACTAGGATTTCAAAAAATAAAATAGCCTTCCCTTTTAATGCCAGGTGACCTGTTTTCCCCTTTTCGGTTCCTTCCCAAACACACAAGCCGATTTAATCTCATTTTAAAATGGGGGGGGGGGGGGGGGGACAATACTAAATTATGCTTTGTGTGACTGGATGAGAGGCTGAGGCCTTGAAGCGAAGCGAACCGGAACCAGAAAGCGCAATAGGGCCCCTTCTGCACAGGCAAGGCTGACCTCCAGATCATTCAATTCTGACTTCAAGGCCAGATTGTGATATTAAAAGTTGTGTTGATTTTTGTGACTCCTTCCTCAAGCCTCTTTCAGTCTTTGCGAGAATGTCACCCTTATCTGAAACCAAACAGGGTATAATTGGCAGAAACAGCTTTCACAAACTCCCCACACAGAATGGATGGCCAAGACTTCACGAAAGAGGTAAGCCTTGGATTTGGCCATTGGGGCTTTGATTGCTTTCCAGGCCTTCTTCGTGTTTTCAACTGTCACTTTGCATTCTGTGATCGAGATATGATTGAGGTAAATTGGCAGTAGAAACTGCAAACAGAAGGCGGCTCCTGAAGAAAGAGACCAAGAGCTGGGCTTTCCCCCCCATCCTCTTCAGAAATCTACAGCTGTTCCTACCACTTTGAAGCTAAGCCCCCAAGGAAGAATTAGTCCTCTTTTCATATTGCGAACAAGAACAGAATCATTATTGGAAGAGACTGCAATGGCCATCCTTCTCCACTGGATACTCACTGCCTTCTTGAAGCCACTCTGAGCCAGAGTGAAGACGGGGGAGGCCAGGGGACAGTTCCACCTTGTCTCCTGCATATGTCATCAGTTGAGACCCCTCCCCCCAGCACCAACCACCACTCTGAGCCAGGCTGAAGGCAGGGGAGGCCAGGGGACAGTTCCATCTTGTCTCTTGTGCTATGCTAATATATAATATATTGTATAGACATATAATATGTATAATATAATGTAAGACAGTATAGTACTAATAATAATGTATTATCATTATATATTTACATTACATGTAATATTACTAATATTACAATAATTGTATAGTACAATATAGTGATGTATAGTGCTGATATTGTACTGTTAATGTTATAATGTATGTGTGTGTGTCTATATATATATATATACATTTATATGATCTTGTAAGCCGCTCTGAGTCCCCTTCGGGGTGAGAAGGGCGGCATATAAATGTTGCAAATAAATAAGTAAAAACTGTCTAACCTTCCTCCTCTGGTCCTCTACTGCCTTCTCCCTGAAGGCCAAGGGTCCAATCTCCCTGCACACCTACATGCTCTCTTCCTTGCTTCCTGACCAACATTAACCCCAGCCTTGCTCTTCCCAAAGCAGATTCTGAGAACTCTGCGAGACAGATACAGATTGAGTCATCTTGAACATAACCAACAGCAGAGACACTTTGATTCTGGCATAAGAAAGAACAAAGAACTCAGGAACAAGGACCAGAAATGGGTAAAGAGACAAAAGAGTCTTACTTTATTTGGAAACAATCAGCTTGTTCAAAACAGGTGAACTATTTCAAGAGTGAGTGGAAGAAAGGTGGCCAATTTGGGGCCACAGGACCCTTCTCTCCCTTCTCGGGTTCAGAAAAGTGACAAAAGGGGACGGTCTTACACCTCACAGCTCTGGTCCTCCTTTTGGATCTTCAGCCCCGTTTCAAAAGCAACCCTGCAGTAGCACCCAGGCCTTGAAGCATTTGGGGACAAACAAAAATGGCGGTGGCACAGAAACAATGGTGCCATGCCTGCAGGGTTTTGTTTTTTGGGCAGTTATGGCAGAATCCTTTCGAGTGAGAAAGAAGCAGGGTGGCCAAAGGAGAGGAATGACGCCCAGGAGCCCAGCTTCCCAGAAGAGCAAAGGATTAGAAGGCAGAGATCAAAATGGTGGGCACATTAATACAAAGAGCCTTCAAAGAGCAAAGGAAATGTGTGGAGAGCCCCTGACCATATTCTAGTACCATCTGACTTAAAAGAAAAAAATAGAAAGGAGAGGGATGCGCTTTTTGTGCTTAACTTCCCATCTCCTGCCAGTCTTGGCTACAGCCTTCACTACACTAGAAGGTGGTTCTAAAGGTTAGATAAGCCCACCTTTTCTGTTTATTCTGTCAGCAGGGAATGAAGCCATCCACTTGAAGAGGGACAAGAGAAGGGCTTAGCTCATCTGTCTATACAAGAAACCTCATGAGGTCAAAATAAAAGAAATGCCTCGCAGTGTTTTCCTTTAAAAAAAGTTTTACTCTACAGACTTTAAACGTTTCTCTGAAAATGTGAAGTCTTCTGTTCCTCGTGAGGGTGCGCTAGAATAGTCTCAGTGCTACAGCACAAGGTAAGCCGGAGAGACATCTAAGCCAGCTGCTTAGCTGGCATGTCACCTGAAAAGGAAGGGGAAACAAAGACAAGCAAGTGAAGACAAGGTACAGGCCAGTTGCTTTAGATTCCAAACGTGTAAGAAGGCAACTTCCCTCATGGAAGGAGGCCAACAGCTCATTTATAGGACAACTCCTACATGCAATGATCTGCTCCAGCCATAACGAGTGTGTATGTGGCTGTAGAAAAAGCTAGGAAATGCAAGTAAGTTTGGGAGTGGTTGGCTGCCCTACCTCACTTTCTGCTTAGTTTGCGTTCCTCTGGCGCACATTCTTGTCCTTATGGTTGGTGGCATTGCTTTTCCTGGAAGAGCAAAACAAGAGGGCCGTTAAGGACATCCACATGGAAAGCCTGCTAAACAACCCCTGACTTGGCTGGAATGGAGCCCTCCCAAGCACCATCTTGAAAGCTCTCCTGCCTGAGACTCTAAACAGTAGGAGAGGCTGAATAACAATAACAGGGCTATCAAAGGCCAGCGGCGGGGTCTGATGCAAGGCTGTTATCTGTTCTGGCAGCAACTAGTGAAGGGTGAGATATTGCATTCCAGGCCTGCCCTGGATCGGCATCCCTTTCCTGGCGCACCATTGGAGCTCCTATTGGCACTGCCAGCCCCAGCTGTTGGGAGAGATTTCTTTCCAACCCTTATCTGCTTCTTCTCTCATAGACTCATAGAGTTGGAAGAAACCCACATCCAGTCCAACCCCCTGCCATGCAGGAAAATTACAAAGCACCCCCGACAGATGGCCCTCCAGCCTCCAAAGGAGCTTCCACCACATGAGGCAGAGAGTTCCACTCTTGAACTGCTTTCAAATATAAGCAGTAACCCAGACACATCCTAGGCTTGACCAAGAAGGGTGCAGCTCCATTTGGTCATTCCCCCTCATCTCCCAATTCCAAGACGCATCAGGAGACAATGCATGAACAAAAGGCTGTCATACTCACAGTGGTGCAGAGCCTCCATCGTCATCTTCAAGCCAAGGGGTACCAGAGGAGGGAGAAGAAAGAACAGTGTCAGGAAAGAGGTTTCTTCCGAGCAGCACAGATAACCCTTGCCCACCCGCCCTCCATGGGCCACTAGAGAAGTCAGCTCATACAAACAGAAAGGTAATTTCCTACTGAAAAAAGGCCTTTCCTGGGTAAAACAAAGGCCCAGAGGAGCTTCAAAGTGTGGCAATACCCCTGGCCCCAAGCCCACTAAGGAGGAATAAGACCAGATGTTTTGGACTACAGCTCCCTGACCATTAGACAAGCTGGCTAGGGCCTCTAGGAATTGTAGGCCCAGGCAGCTGGAGGGCTGCAGGTTGAAAAGAAAAATAATGTCAAGGGTTTTTAAAAGGTGGTGAAGGGGAACTTTGGTGGGCCATTCATTGCAGACACCCAACCAGTCCTCATTTCAATCACCAGCATTTTTCTCCATGCCGCAGCCTCTTATCGGCTAAGCATTCGTGTTCCCACCTGTCTGCCAACCCACAACCTGCAGCCACATACAATCAACAAGTAAACAAGCAAGCAAGTAGAAACAAATAGCACAGAAAGGAGCTCAACAGTTCCAGACCCAACACTGAAGGATGGTGACCTTGAGCAGACAAGAAAAATACAGCTGGTTCTGCAGAAGAATGTTTGTCTCTGATGAGCAAAGAAGCCCTTCTGTCAAACGGCTCACTTTTTCTCTCAAACACACGCAACCCACAATCTATGCCCTGACACTAAGCAAGCGGCCCCAGATTGCCCTGGGCAAACAGCTGGCAAGACGACTGGCAAAGGGAGCGCAGGAGCCGACTCTTCCACTTACCAAAAGCAGTGAACACGCAGCAGGAAAAGGAAGGAAAAGAGTGCAGAGATAATGCCAGCAAGGAGACTAGACCTTCCATGACAGGTTTCTTTTTTTAAAAAGGAGATTTCAGTGCCTTGGGGTTTTCAAAAGGAAAGCCCTAACAAGCAGTAACTTGACATGAATTTGGACCTAAAGAAACCTGAGTGCTCAAGCCAATAAGGAGGGAAATTGTCGGCTATAAAGGTACATTTTTTGGAAAAGGAGAAGGAAGCCCAAGGAGGTCGTAGGCCTCTGCTGCAAAGAAAAGGGGGTTTCAACAGTGTGTTTAACAGGACAGTATTTGACCCCCAATTTGGCGAGGAAGATTCAATGACCTGTGGTATGACACACAGTAAAGCAGAACCTCCTTGAATAATAGGGACATTAGGTGACTTTGCAGCAAATACATGAAGGAAAACAATATAAGGATTTACGAGGACAGTTAACAACCTGACGCAGGCGGTATTTCAGGGGCTATAATTTAAACCCCAAATGGGAGCTTTACTTTGCTGGAGAGGAATTTTCATGTTGGAAGCAACAGAACTACTACGACTGTCTTTCAACTCTTATATCCTGAAGAAAGAAAACTAGGATAGTGCCAGCAGCAGCCATACACTTAAGACAGGCCTCTCCAACCTGTGGGCGTCCAGCTGTTTTGGACTTCAGCTCCCAGAATTCCTGACCATTGAACAAGCTGGATAGGACTTCTGGGAGTTGGAGTCCAAACACCAGGAAGGCCACAGGTTGACGAGAAGTCACATATGGGTTTCAAAATCCATTGACCTTAGATTTAGGGAGATAAATATGTCCTTTGTGGGGTCAGTGGCGCAGTTGATCTAACTATTCAAAAGGAGGCCCAGTAGGTCCAAATAGCCCTCCTTTTAATTTCTCTTGAGTAAAACCTACATTAGGCCAAAACCCTGTGCTAAGAGGACCACTCTCTGCTGCCTCCCAGGCGTCAAACCCGCTCTTCACCAGGCCTCTTACCGTCAGGGACCTCGTTGGGCTTTCTTCGCTTCTCGTAGATGAAAATAATGGTCACGAGGACCAGCACCTCGGCCACAATCCCAAGGAAGGGCCACAGGGCAGCTAGGCGGCTGCGCACCCGCAGGCCCACCACAGCGTGGTCTCCGCCCAGCTCGTTGGTGGCGTTGCACATGTACTCGCCCGGGTCCTTCTCGATATCCAAGGAGACGATGCGCAGGTCAGTCCGGTTCTCTGTTGTTTTGATAAAGAATCGGTCCTCTGAGCCATTGACGATGGGCTGGAAGGGACAGGAGGGAGAACCCAGATTGGTTGCGGATTTGGTGGGGAAAAGCCCTTTTCCTGTGCTCTTTGGTCCTTTTCCATATGCAGCCCACAGCTGACTCATTTCTTTGGGAAGGGAATCTCATCCTCGAGAGGGAAAGCTATGGGATCAAGGATCTGATAGGATGACCTTACTGACCTCCCCTCCCAAAAGAGTCTGTTAATTCTAATGAAGCTTCTAGTATTGGGAAGATGATGAGCAAAACTTTTCGACAAAAGAGGTGAGAGTAAGGCTCGGAAGGGTCCCTGACCACCTAATGAGTTAGAATCAGTTTGAAGGATTTTGACCGTTTATTCTTCATAACATCAATATTTAATTCTATTACGATGTGTATACATTTTGGAGTTTTTAATTGTATTGAACTGATTGTTTTGTAAGAAGCTTTGTGGAGAGAAAATAGGCATGATGATGATGATGGAAGAAACAAACGTAAGAAGAATGATGCCAGATCAGACCAAAAGGCAATCTATTGTAGGATTTGGGCCACTATGTGAACCATCAAAATACCCAAGTAGGAACATGAATTTTCTCCCATTTTTCCCATTCATATTCCCTGCATTGAAAGGAGTGTTGAGCAAATATTAACAACAAAGCAAGACATATTGTTCTAGATGTCAGTATAATCTTTTTAACTGCCGCAGAAAACTATTTTCAGGAAGCAAGCAGGTTCCCTGTTGCAAACTATCTCCTTTGACCACTGTTTCCAGTGTGGAAGATTGGGAGAACCAGCAGAAGAGGGGTTCCAGAACAGAAACCTTTCGGGGTGCCAAGACGCTCACCTGGGGCGCACCATCAACCATCTTGAACCAGGTCCAAAGGTTGACTGGCGGGTATGAATGAGCCTTGCAGGTCAGCACCGCTGTGTCCCCCTCGTTCCCGTGCTCTGACTTCTTATAGGCCATGACGTGGGGTTTAACTGCAGGGAAGGAAAGAGATGCCAAGCAAATGAAGGCGCTGTGGGAGAAAAGAGCAGCCAGCTCCTCTCCTCCACAGCTGCCCCATTTTCCTTGATAGATTTGTAAGCCACTCTGGGGGTCTTTTGGGCCAAAGGACAGGCTATAAACACACTAAATTAAAATACAGGTTGCTGCACAAACTACACCCAAAAAAGTGGCGTGACACATCTGGTGAGCAAAATTGGACAGAAAGTAACTCAAGAAGGTAGATCTATTTCCTTTCCAGGCTTGAATTGCATTGCTGGGGAAAAGCATAGGAAGCCAAGCCCAAATTTGTTTATCTGAGAATGGCCCCTTTGCTTCCCTTAATGAGAGTCAAACCTGAAAAGTCAACTGTTTTGGGAAAGGAAGAATGCTAGTAAAGTTACCTTTCACATAGACAATGCTTTTTGAGATGGGATCTGTCTCAAAGATGCAGTGGTATTCCCCCGAGGTTTCATGATCCACTTTTGGGATCCTGGAACAAAAAAAAAATCCAATATGTCAAGTAAGCAATAAGCAAGGCGCATAATATTATACCAACTACAACAGCCTTTCAAAAATATCTACTTTATCTTATTGATGTATATGTGGCCATGGAATAGTCAAATCTGCCTCTCCTTTTGCCTCTTTAATTTTTCTTGAACATTCCCTTCATGTCAATGATTGGCCTGGATGCCCATACAAAGAACAACCCCGAGAAAGAAATTAATGCACACACTGGAAGGAAAGGAAGGACGGTGCAGAGGACAGGAATGAGGACATTTCTTTCCACAGGGATTCAGATTTGGGGCAGACATTGTAACCCCTTCAACACTATTCCTCCAGATATCCAGATTACGTGGGACTAAGGCTCCCATCTTCACTCACTGAGTAGTTGTCAACTGCAATCCCTTAAGACACTGGTGGCCCTCCACATGTTTTGGACTTCAGTTCCCAGAATTCCTGGCCATTGGACAAGATGGCTAGGGCTTCTGGGAGTTGGAGGCCCAAATCTCACCCTGAAGATTTGCAGCATCACTTGTCCCTCGCTCAGATTTTACATCACAAGCCCTCCCATCTTCCCTCAGCAGCATAGCCAATACTTGGGGTGATGTGAGGGATTCAATGATCCCTTGCAGATGCACTGACTATGTTTCAAAGCATCAAACCAGTGAAAGAAAGGCCAGGGGGGTCCTGATTTACAATAGGGAAGCTTACTATAATTAAAGGGACTGAGCTGGAGAACAGATCCAACGTGGGAAGGGCAAGAGGCACAACAAATATTCCATTTCAGCTCAATCTGAAGTTCTCAAATACTTTCAGGAGATTTTAGAGCACATGGTGGGGGAAGTAATCCGCCCTGAGTCTAGAGGTAACCCAGCGACTGATGTCTCAGTTAGGAGGCTTGCTCTGACTGGATGTAATGGATTACCAGCCCTCCTGAAAGAAAGGGCACACATTGACTATATCTGCTGGGGGGTGTCTATGGACTGAGGTTTGAAGGGCTGCAGAACGGGGAGCAGGGCTTGTGTTGCTCCTTCCACTGGGCCTGTAGCTTCCCCTCTTCTACCCCACATGGAGCCTGCCCAGAGAATCGAGGGCATCCAAGGCAGGCCAGGGGGGTATAAATACTTTAATCCTTTCTCTCAGGGCCTGGTTGCTATGGGGAGGGAGGCACGTCGCGCGGAAAAGGACGTGATGCCTGCCCAGCCAGCTGGGCCTCTGCCAGCAGGGAAAGCGAGTGAGAGAGGGGAATCCGGAAAACCCATGCCCTCACAAGAGGGTGGCATTTCACTTTCCTGGAAAGATAATGATGAGGAGAAGAACCACTGAACCTCCGGAGTATAGAAAGGACATACTCTAATTGGAGGAAGAAAACAGGACTTTCCTCCTGAGACAAAGAACAGAGACACATGGATGACACACTCCAATTTGATCCACTCAGAGAACTTTAAACCCTCCCACTAAGTGCTCCTCTCTTTACTTAAAAAGGCAGCAAGCAGGAGAAAAAATGAGCATTGAGTTTCAGCATCAAAGGGAGGCTGTATTTGAAAAGCAATCCAGCAATACTGGAAGGTCACATGCACTGGCTAACCTAAGTTCCGCTGTGCAACTCCCCGACATGTTTATTGAGCAAAGCATTGTGCTTCAAGGGCCCTGTTCTGTAGATGATCTACAGATTCACAATAACAAGGTTCCTCAAACCCGCTCTCCCCTCCTCTGAAGGATTTCTCCCTTTCTTTCAACTCTTAAATCTGTTAAGATGTTTCCAAAAGCTTAAATCACGTCATACTATGCAACTAGTGTTTGACTGCGGCTGGCAGGTTTCAAAAGCTAAGAAGAGGTGTGTGTGTGGGGGGGGGGGGGTCCTCCTGTCCAAGAAGAGTCCAAGAACTCTATAAATTTAGGCCCCATGTTTTGTATTTCTCTTTCTTGGCAGCTTTTTTAAAAAGTGAACGCTACAAATTCTGCATTGGTATCAGTACATACAAGATTTTTGCATGTCGCAAAACCCCCTCTCCTGGCTGTTCTCAGAGATGCCATTCTCAAGAAACCCCTTGGTCCAGGAAGATTTACATCAGTGTTTCTCAACCTGGGGGTTGGGACCCCTGGGGGTTGCGGGGGGGGGGGGGGGGCAGAGAGGGTTCGCCAAAGACCATCAGAAAACACAGTATTTTCTGTTGGTCATGGGGGTTCTGTGTGGGAAGTTTGGCCCAATTCTATCGTTGGTGGGGTTCAGAATGCTCTTTGATTGTAGGTGAACTATACATCCCAGCAATTACAACTCCCAAAGGTCCAAGCTCTATTTTCCCCAACCCCACCAGTGTTCACATTTGGGCATATTGAGTATCTGTGCCAAGTTTGGTCCAGATCCATCATTTTTTGAGTCCACAGTGCTCTCTGGATGTAGGTGAACTACAACTCCAAAACTCAAGGTCAATGCCCACCAAACCCTTCCAGTATTTTCTGTTGGTCATGGAGTTCTGTGTGCCAAGTTTGGTTCAATTCCATCATTGGTGGAGTTCAGAATGGTCTTTGATTGTAAGTTAACTATAAATCCCAGTAACTACACATCCCAAATGGCAAAATCAATCCTTCCCTCAACCCTACCAGTATTCAAATTTGGGCATATTAGGTATTTGTGCCAAATTTGGTCAATTGAATCAGATATTTACATTAAGATTCATAACAGTAGCAAAATTACAGTTATGAAGTAGCAAGGAAAATAATTTTATGGTTGGGGGTCACCACAACAGGAGGAACTGTATTAAGGGAATGCAGCATTAGGAAGCTTGAGAAACACTGACTTACATGTATGAGGTAGACTCCGAAGAGTTCCCATTCGAATCAAGCTTCATCCCCTCCTTCATCCAATAGCGGTCTTTGATAGATGTTGGTGGTTCACTTATATTGCAGTAAATGAGCACATCTGAGCCTTCAGTTACCTCCGGAGTGGCTGAAATATGAGCCTCTGTTCATTTTTTTTTTGGAGAAGAAAACAAATCTGGATTAGGATAATAAAAAAGATGGGCTACTTCCAATGAGAAGGAAAAGAGTTCCCACTGGCGGTGCAGAGCTCAGTCATCGGGAATCACAGAAAGAGTAACATGCTGCTTTAGGGTTTGCTTCATAGATAACATTAAAATCAAAGTCCCAAGACATTAAGCCAGGGTTAGGAAATTTGCATCTCTCAGTCTCAATCCAAAGACTGAACAAGTATCGACATCAACACTCTCTTGCCCCCCAGGGCCTGTCCAAACATTCTGTTCCCTCTGTCAGGCCATACTGTCTGTCATCAGCGCTCTTCCATCCCAGGCAGATGCTGTCATGTACAAACAGCAGCATGCGAGTTGATTTTGTGCCAACATTGCACGGAAATGGTGAAAGCCAGTTGAAAAAAGGTCAATGACTAAGATGTAGGCTAAAAGCAGACACTTAATAACCTCTTTCAAGTGGCTTATTAGTCTCCCTCTGAGAAAATCATTAGACTCATACCACTCATATATGGAAGGAAAGGAACTGGCAAATAAATACACACATTTCCTCAAGTTGGGCCCCTGGGAAAGGAAAAGCACTTACATGTGGAACTTCCAGGTTGGCTGCTTATCTAATAGCTTTAGTAAGATTCCAAATGCTGCACTGCACAGATGCAGATGACTCATTTCTGTGGGCCATAGAGGCCACAAAGAAGAGTTGCTAGCTGCAGTGTTCATCTACACTACCATTTGTGGGCTGAAAGTACATTGTTTTCATGCTCTGTTGAGTTTGGGGTTCATTCAACATTTTAAAACAACTGTCAAGAGCCTACATTGGATTGAAAGCAGCTCTTCGACACAAAAATGTGGAAGGAGCCTTACAAAAGGTCACTTTGGAACCTGGCCATTTCGGAACACTAAGAATGGTTGCCTGAGTTAATTAGCGCATTCGCATCTTAGCCAGTTCTATTCAAGTAGAGGGACTAGAAGGCAAGCTGGTTGCTGACAAATCCTGTTCCTGCCATAACCAAATGGACATAACCACCTTAAGACAAGCTTCCCCAGCCCATCCAGCCCTTCCTCCCAATGACAGGAAAGTATGCAGAACTGAAAGACCCTCTTGTGATTTGCAATGTGTTTTCATTTGCCTACAAGTATTCCATCCATTCTTAAAGCTTCTCATAAGAGTGCTAGTTTTTAAATATCATTTATATACAGTTTGCACATGGAGAGCTTGAATATGTGCTAAGGAAGCCTAGCTGATTCCAGAGCATTCTCCATATGTTCAATTGCATAGCCGTGGTGGGAAACCTCAAGACTAGGGACCATGTTTGATCCTTCTAGCTAAAAAAAGGGCTTCCCATCCTGGGTCTATAGCATGCATAAAAAAGATTTTGCTTTTCAAATCAAGGAATCCTTGATCACCTTGCAAGGATTCTCTTGTGGTTTCCTGAACAGGGTTTGAAACCACTTGCAAATGGAGGGAGAAAGGTAAAAGATGAAAGGACTCCACTGTCAAAACTCCAGAGGAAATGCCACATTTAAGTTGTTTGGTTTCGTACTTCTGCCATTAAGCAGTTTGTCCTCCTGCTGGGAAACATGGACTTTCAGCTCTGCAGTGAGGGGAAAAGGGAGGCAACAAACTAACTGGTTGTTGAACAGCAAATGAGTGGTGTTGCACAGAGACAGAACGGCCATTTCAAAAACGGTTGCAATTACCACAAGCACTGGTTTAACCCACCCCTACAACTTGAGCCCCAAAGGTTGGTAAGAAAGCAAACAAGAAGCAAAGGTGCCGCTACACATACACATCTATTCTGGAAGAAAACAAGGAAAGAGTCAAAAGGCAAAGGACTGGTTTACTAGCGGCTACTGGAAGCACAGCCAAAAAGACGTGTGGAAAGGAAAGCCTAGGAGAAAGAGGCAGCCATTCAAGCGCTTGAGTTCTTCTATGGGAAAGGGCTGGCAGGCCATTTTGAAAATAGGATTTACAACCTTTTTTGAGCAGGGCCATAGCTGGTTCCTCACCAATGGTGAGAGGGATTACGGGAGCTGGGGAATATCTTTGATGTCTACATGGTCAGGGCAGGAAGTGCAGGTGGGTTCTCACAGGACATAGGTGAAAAGTGGGGGCACGCAGGTGTGGCAAAGCCTGAGAGAGGGCTGTGCCCAAGCGGATGCCAACACCTGGGGGTGGGGTGGGGTGGCCACTCACGCTCAATGACAATCACGTTCGCCTGGGAACGGATCCACTTGATTTTGGGGCTCTTCGACAAGTGGTTGCGATCGGGGTCGTTGCTTGCCCGGCACTCGAACGTGCCAGAGTCGTTGAGCGTGAGGTTGGCGACAGAGATGGTACTGGTGGAATGCTGCTTGTAAGTGGCGTTGATTTTGACCCGGTCCTGCCAGGCCCCGTCCCAGAGTTGGACGGCCGTCTCGTTGGGCTCGGCCCCTTCAAACCACCACTGGATCTCTGGAATGGGGTTGCCGACGGCCTCGCAGTACAGCTCCACACTGTCCTCGGTCAATTTCTTTTGAGACAGCGGTGACTTTATAAAGCCAGCTAAGAGTTGAAGAGGCGTTAGTGAAAATCATTAGTGCAAAAGAATGCAAAGACAAAAGTTAGATTTTTTTAAAAAAAAGAAACAATAGTAACCGACAGAGACATGATCACCACTATTGCTTCTGTAGGAGGAGTAAGAGAAAGTAAACAGAGCCTGAGAAGCCCCCCAGCGTTAGTTTATCCCAAAAAAATACTGTCTTTGAGAAGACAGGATGGGGCCAGAGGCAGCAAGATCATAGGCTCCAGTCTCACTGATTTGCCCATATATGGACCCAGAATATACAAGAAGAGATGAACAAATGCTAAGTAGGAGAAAAAGTCTGGGTGCTCTTACTACTGCTAAACTTGCCAACCACAGCATTTCCACATCTACAGCAAGCCCCACTTTTCTTAGGTCATCGCATACTTCACCAAACAAGACTTGATAAACTTTTCAAGATACAGAAAGGTGAAACAATCACAACACAGATAGTGAAAGACACACAAACATCACAGCTCCAAATGTAGTCAAATTGCCACATGTCCCGCATACTGATAGTGCAAAGACAGATTATGGGTGTTTCTCTAAAGTAATAAAGACCTCTACTTTTCCCAACTTTCAGATCACAGGACCATGGAAGAACTACCTTCAACCCGGTCCAAGGTGCACAGGCAAAGCCTTCCCAATTCAGCTTCCATTTTAGAACAATGAAGCAACTGGTTGTTGAACAGCCATGTTTGGTAATCTTCCATCAGATCTGGAAGTCTCTCATTCATAAGGTCTTTGTAAGTCAAAGTTGACTTGATGGCAGTTAACAACAACTCATTACAGGAGATTGAGAGACACAATAACAGTGAAGACATTAACAGCGACGTCTTTGCCAACTGTCTGATGACGCTGCACAACTTAGCCATTGTCAAAGAGATGTTGGCTCTCCACACAAAGCCAGACAGTTCTTTCCATGTATGCCAATGTACAAAGACAAGAACCTTTTAGACAATTGCAAGGAAAGAGCACGCACCAGTGGGAGCACGTCCTCCTGCGCTCCACAGAAAGGAAACAAGTGTTCTTTCGCTTACCCTCATGTTGCCTACATGGTCAGCTGACAGCTTGGATAACTACTGGCACATGGCCCAGCCACACTGACTGGAGAGCATTGTACAAGGCCCCTTGTTATCAACATATTTTGCTAACTCTCTCTGGACTAGCTAGCCTGCTCCACAAGCCTTCATCATCCTTTAAATGGCTCAGCAAATCAAGGGGCATGTAAAACCTTGCAAAATATAGCACAAGACAACAAAGATTCAGTTTTTTAAAAATTGATAAATGTTTTGCCAAGACTGAGTGCAAAGTCCATTTTGTTAAGACTTCCCCAAACAAATTAAGCTGCAAAACCAAACAACTGTAAAGCTTGACCATCAGCACTGAGGGAAGGAGGAGAATAACTGTACTAGAGGATCAAACAACAAAGTAGTGTTAGAAAATATATAGAAAAAAAAACCATTAGGGTGATGGGGTACATTAATATTCCTCACAAGGACTGGAAAGGATGCCAACTGTTTAGAACTATCATGCACGTGTAGTGATACTTTTAAAAGGAAGCAGCTGCATCAAAGCTAAAATGCTTATGCCTCCTGTTTCTGCTGTACTTCAGTTGTTTTAGTGGGATCTCAGGGCCCTTCCAGGCAGGCCCTAAATCCCAGGATCTGATCCCAGGTTTTCTATTTATCCCAGATTATCTAGCAGTGTGGACTCATATAATTCAGTTTAAAGCAGAAAACCTGAGATCAGATCTTGGGATACAGGGTCTGTCTGGAAGGGCCCTCAATGCAAGCAAAGGCTGCTCTCCTTGGTCTTGTAGAGACCAAGGACAACAAAAGACAAGTAGTAGTATCTTTCCTCTCCTACATGACTTTTTACAACGTTTTCTTCTTGAGGAAGACACCAGTGAAGCTTCAAAAGTTAGTGTATTTTGTTGGCTGATAAATGTTGTGTTTTCCTTCCATGTAAGGGATATTCTGCAACAGCAGAATTCTGAATAGTTTCTATTAAGAGGCTTGGGTTTTCAAAACAAAGAAACATTTCACACAATGCAATCAAAACATAACTTGTGCTGGGGTCCTAAGCTTATTTTATTTAATGTATGAGCCTCCCCAGCATTATTTCTTGCTTGTTGAAAAGGTAATAGAGATATTCATGAAATAATCATGCTCTAAAGGTCAGAAGGGCCAGTTCCCTTCAAAGGCCAGCCTGGCTAGACATCCCAGCTGCCGTTTCTGTCTCCAAATGAATTCTTGAATTCATAAGGGAGTTACGTTAAAATAGCACTACTCTTTGAAGGAGAGCATACACTGAAAGAAGGGCCAAGCTGGAGGGTTTGCTGGGCAATGGTTGTGCAAACTGCTGACTGATGGATGGCACTGCTATGCTCTGTTATAAGCTTATATCCGAATGCCACATTTCTGGTTAAAAGTTGGAATCATAGAATCATAGGATTGGAAGAGACCTCATGGGCCATCCAGTCCAACCCCCTGCAGAGAAGCAGGAAAACCGCATTCAAAGCAGCCCTGTCAGATGGTCATCCAGCCTCTGTTTAAACAGAGAACACAAAGAGCTCATCTGGATGCCATCTAACTATGCAACTAGAATACTGTATACATATAATGCACTTACAGAAGACTGAACAATCTGGGCTCAAGATAATAAAAGGCCAGTGTGTTGCACCAATATTAGTCACCCTTTTTCCTGCCATATTATTTATGTATTTATTTATTACAGTTATATACCGCTTTTCTCACCCCTGGGGGAACTCAAAGCAGTTCACATCCAATAAATGGGAAACATTCAATGCCTCACATACAATAAAAGCAGTATCTCACACATCTAAAACAATTAACATATAACTATAAATTAAACCACTAAAACCTATAAACCATCAAACATAAACATAAATTTTAAGATTGCACTCATCCCAAGGTTGTAATCCATCTGCTATATTATTGTTGTCAGTCACTGAATGCTTGTTTGCATAACCAATTTTTAGTTGTTTTCTAAACATCAGGAGGGAGGGGGGCGATTTAATCTTGCTGGGGAGGGAGTTCCACAGCTGAGGGGCCACCACCAAGAAGGCCCTGTGTCTCATCCCCACCAATTGTACCTGCAACAGCGGTGGAACTGAGCACAGGGCCTCCCCAGCTGATCTTAATGCTCTAACTGGCTCATAAAGGGAAAGGCATTCAGATAGGTAAGCTGGACCGGAACCATTTAGGGATTTATAGGCTAAAGCCAGCACTTTGAATTGTGCTCAGTAGCAGACTGGCAGGCAGTGGAGCTGGTGCAACAGGGGGGTTGTGTGCTCCCTGTGTGCCGCTCCGGTGAGCAATTTGGCTGCCAACTGTTGGACCACATGAAGCTTCCAAACAGTCTTTAAAGGCAAGCCCATGTAGAGAACGTTGCAGTAGTCTATTCAGGGTGTAACAAGAATGTGAACCATCATGGCCAAGTCTGACTTCCCAAGGTATGGGCGCAGCTGGCGCACAGGTTTTAATTGTGCAAATGCTCCCCGGCCACCACCGAAACCTGGGGCTCCAGGCTGTGATGAGTCCAGGAGGACTCACAAGCTGCAAACCTGTGTCTTCAGGAGGAGTGTAACTACATCCAGCACAGGCTGTAACCCTATACCGTGTTCGGCCTTTCAACTGACTAGGAGTACCTCTGTCTTGTCTGGATTTAGTTTCAATTTAACAATTTAGCTGTGACAGTCATCCAGACTGTCACAGCTGCCAAGCACCGGTTCAGGACCTGAACAGTCTCCTTAGCAGTAGGTGGAAAGGAGTAATAGAGTTGAACGTCATTTGCGTACAAATGGCATTGCACTCCATAGTTTTCAGTATGCAAAGATCTGTTTATTTAAGCAGGTGATGCATTCAAACACATCGTTACTACATCCCTTAAAAGTGGTGAAGTAGAACATGTTTCCTAACATGGGAGTCCCACAACTTGCTTCTACACAACAGCCTTCTCCAATCTGATGCCCTCTAGATGTAATGGACAGATTCCTAGCCAGCATGGCTGGGAATAAAGGTGATATTGAAACGTCTGTTGTACATACAAGCTGCAACTGGGAACCAACCAGTTTAAAATTCTCAACCGGGGGGGGGGGGGGGGGGGGGGGGGGGAAGAGAGTTAGCGCACTAATGGAACACGCCGGTTTTGTCCCACCACTTCACAGACAACAGCTCATGCAAAACCGCCCCGAGCAAAAACACATGATCTGCTCTTGCGTTTCAAAGTAAAGTCACCTTCAACTATAAACGGACACTCTCCACTTTGAGCTGGGAAAGGAGGAGGAGTTGCTGGTGTGCATAGTCTCTGGCACATACAACCAAGCACCCATAATCTCGCTGCTGGTTCTGGCTAAGTGCCACGTTCTTTCTCAGAAACAAAGTCTAATTATTATTATTTTTCAATCCCCTCCACTAGCAGGGCTGCTTTTCCTCCTAGAGCTCCGGATACTTCGTGCTAGAACTGTGGAGGTTACTTTCAAAAGCCATTCATTTCCACTTGCCTCTATGCTGTTTACAGAGTGATTTGCTCTCTTTACTGATGAATGTTGTAAAGGTAGCCCAGTTTCTAGTATGGAATTGTCATGATCCCACCCACTGCCTCTCCCTTAACCCTTTCCTATTCTTTTCTATGGCACACAGCAAACAGAGGAGTTGATCATCAACTGGACATACTAGAGAGGTTTGGGGAGAATTCACTATGATTTATAGCCATTGTAGATACAGGGATGTATAGTTCACCTGCAATCTAAGACCACTCTAGTTTGAGATAAATTAAAATGGAGAAATCAGGCCATGACATTTTGATCTCACGTCAACGCACCATGATACACTGCAAGGACCATGGAAAAATGCATTCCTTGACTAGGTGGAGGCTTCATGCTTCAAAAGGGTGGCTCAGAACTGGCACAAGGAAGCAAATCTGGAAGCTCCCCAGCAAAAATAGCAAATTAAAA